AACAATGTTCTTGTGAATAGATAATTATGTCAGTGTGTCTGCAGGTCAGTGTGTAGTAATAGGAGGACTGAGTGGTTTTCAGTGGTGCTCAAGTGTGTGTGTGTGTGTGTGTGTGTGTGTGTGTGTGTGTGTGTGTGTGTGTCAGCCCTGTTTGACCACATCTCCCCTCTTTTTTCCCTTGAACAACATGTGTACTCTCTTGAACTTCATTTAATATTAATTGTCTAGATTGTAGCTTCTGTGTGCTGTGTTAACTCCACCAAATGCAAACTTCCCCCAGTATGTTTGATGCAAATTGGACCAAATGAACCACAGCTTATAAATGACGCCGACTTATGTTCTGATAGTGTTCAAACATGTCATAATAGCAAATGTAACACTAACAGAGAGTTAGTGATGGAGATGTTGTTGGTTCCAGACCATATTTCAGCTTGAGGACGCCTCGCCAATTCATATTCCAGTGAAGTATTGACAAACTCCTCGGCGAGGTTTATGATGCTCTCACTCAAGTTTCTGACTTTGAAGAAGGTTAAAAATGAATGAGGTCTTTTTGAGAGGCATCGACAAACTGCACTCAACATTACAGGCTTTAATTTGACAGGCTTACTTACAAAGACTCGCATTGAAGATAATGGATGCAGCAAATAATAATGCGTGTCTAGTGGTGTAATTCATCACTGAGGAGCCAAGCAGAAATATATTCTTCTCTTCTTGCTTTTTGTAAATCATGCTTTTACCAAGACAGGAGTTACATCATAGATGAGCAGAGGGAAAGCAGCTTCAGTGGATTGCCCCAGTGTTTCCCTGTCATCCTGTGTTATATATTTCACATACTGGCATATCTTGTCCCCCTCTTCCTGTTATGTTGGGCCTCTGTATATTAAAGAGAACGGTCTAGACCTGCTCTTAAGGAAAATAATGTCTTGAAATAACATCTGTTATGATTTGGCGCTGTATAAATCAAATTACTTGACTTTACTGCTATTCTTTCTTGATATTCCATTCCTCTCTTTCAGTCTTTACCGCATGTTTGTGTTTAGGCTGCAGCTCCCTTGTCTTTATTCAGCGTTTCACGCAAAATGAATTCAAATAACTGGAGTACAGCTGTAAAATAGGTTTAAACTGATAATCACCAACATTACATGCAAACACTTTAAGTGGGAGCAACGGATGGAAGGCAGCTGTGACAGTACAAGTGCCATCAAAAGAAATGAAATGAATGAAGAGCGATGTTCCTCTCATCTATATTCATTGTAAAATCAGCTTTGTTCCAGTCTCTCTTTCATATGCTTACACCATAATGTGAATAGTTTCTTTCCAAAATATACTTTCATTTGGGCGTGAATTGTTTCCAAGGGTGCATTGTGGGTTTTTGCTCGGCAGTCTCTTTTGTTGTTTGAAAAATGATTGACACCTTACTTTCGATTATCTTTCAGTGACATGACAGCTCTTCACATGTTATGCTGCCCAAGCACATGTGGTCTGCAGACACTGCTTGTGTTACACATGCACACACACACGCAGCACTGTAAGTGGCTGTATCTGCACCTTGTTTGTTATCCAGCACAGTCTAACAAAGCTGGATGCTCTCTTTCTTCCCCTTGGGTTGCTATGACGCTCCCACCCAGTCTCCACGGCTCCAGAGGGACTTCCTCATGTTGTTGTCTCCTTCAGCTCCGCTCTCTTCCTCCTCGTTTCTAACTCTCTTCCTCCATCTGTTCTCTCTCCTCTCCCCTCCCCATATCTTTATGACCATAGCCATCACTTGCAAAAGCAATCTGTCGCTCTTTTCTTTTCCTCACTTATACAGTTGATGCTGACAGGCTGCTTCCTTCAATAGAAATGTGTCATGCCACAATACTCCCCTCAATCTTTACTCTTTTTCTACAAGGCTGCTTTATATGGATAGCAAAGAGCTGTTATCCCAGGAGTGGATAGTTAAAGATCGTACAGAGATATTGCACCCATTAGCACACTGAGATCATGATATCATGTTCTCATTATTGAGTTAAGTTTTGCTAAACTCAATCCATTTGAACATTGTAAGAGCATGTGAGTGTCTTTGTATGTGTTTGAGCATTTCTCCGTGTATGTGTGTCTGCAATTTGCATTCATATGCTCTTTGATGTTTGTGTGTATCCCATAAGTTTTTCCTCATTTCCCTTGCAAATAACCAAAACAAAAACCTGCATTAGTGACTGATAATGTAACTGCTGATATTCATATCTTAGACTGCACTGTAACTTTTATCCATGTATTTTTTCTTTTAATGTTTATTTTATTAGCTTTTCTTTTTAATGACTGATTTTAAATGCCATTTCCTTAATGTCTTTCATTTTTTTTGTAAAGCACTTTGAATTGCCTTGTGTTGAAAGGTGCTATATAAATAAACTTGCCTTGCCTTGCCTTGCCTTGCCTTGCCTTGCCTTGCCTTGCCTTGCCTTGCCTTGCCTTGCCTTGCTGTGTATTTCTCCACTCACAACATGTAATCTGAGACAAACGGCTAACCTGCATTAGACTGAAAATGCACCCTTAAAACATCTCCTCCCTCCTTTGCTCTGATTTAGGGATTTATGGATCAATAGAACACATGCCTCTCCCCTGAGTTCACCTACTTTATATCTGATATATCTGATATTACAGGTGGGGTAGGTAAGTTTGAGAAACCGGCTCGAGATACACTTTTTGTTATATTCCATGGAATGCTCTTAACATCCCGATAGCAATGAATATCTGAAGTGCTTTGACAAAAAATCCATGAAACAATGTCATCTGTGGAAGCCGTAATACTGTAAAAAGCACAACCAATCATCTGAGCCGGCCCGGCTAAAATGACTGGATGGCCTACCTGCCTGTCAGCCTTCTCTGTGCACAAACTTATCTTGTGCCCTCATTGGTCATGTGCGCGTTCGTGTGTGTTGGAGGAGGGGCTCTGTAAGGAAGTGGCAGATTTTTTCCGGTTGTGTATTTTCAAATTGTAGTGCACTCGAGCTGGTTTCTCCAAAATTACCTACCACACCTTTAATATTATAAACATACAAAAACTCCAACCCTCGCAATGTTCTTCCAATATTCCTCGAGAGCATTGTCCACAGTGCTGATTGTGAGAAAGGTTAAACCTATACTGCAAGGTAATCCTTAATTAGAATTCAAGCCTGCAGCAGACTGACAGAACTGACCTTGGATCAGCCAGCAGCCTGAATGATGGGCTGTCAGCAATTGTTGAATTGGATGGCAGATCTGATATCAGTTCAGCACAATGCAGAGAGAGGCACATGAAAACCGTGGTGCAAAGAGCGGCCTGGAGACTGAACAGAGAGAGGGATGGGTGGTTAAAACAAATATATCATAGTGTACAAGCAACATAATGTTTATTGACCATTGTAACCTGGTCAATGATTTATGTGTGAGAAAGATTCTCAGTCAACCTGATCAATAATGACATGTTACCCTGTCTATATGCTGCATACAATCTGTTTCAGAGGTGCCAATAACAAGTTAGTCCAGTCAACGTGTCAAGTTTAATGGTCCGGTGAGCACATCAATACCTGCGTTAGACCGATAATGGATCAATATTTATTCAGTTTTCCCCTTCAAATACATTTCAGTTATACTTGATCATTAAACAATTATACGTCTCTGAATACAATGCTTTCTCAGGCGATAGTATTACTTTTATCTCTGTAAACTTAATATGGAACTACTGCCAGCGATTAAGCCAAGCATCAAGACTGAACAGCTCTTTTTCTATATCTATAAGGTTTACCCTCCTGCAATGATTATGTTTAATTCAGAGCAATAGTATGATTGATATGTTATTTATTACATTACATGTCACTTGTTAGACGCTTTTATCCAAAGCGACTTACATACTGTACATATCATACATGACCATTGCATGTATGATATGTGTAATGTGTAAAGCACTTTGAGCATCTGGAAAAGCGCTATAATAAATGTAAGGAATTATTATTATTATTATACTCAATACTGTGGACAATCCCAACAGGAGCAATTTGGGGTGAAGTGTCTTGCCCAGGGACACAACGACATGCTGACTGCAGTGGGGTTTGATTCTGTGTTCCCTTGATCCAAACACCTACGCACACGCGCCACACGCCTCCCCCATATGTCCGACAGTTATGTAATAGCCCTGATAAATGACGTCTTGTTGACATGCTTCTAAATACAGAGTGCAGCTGTGAGCTGAAATGACGCCTTAAGCATTAATTAAACTTCATGTTCATCAATGTTGTTGTCAGACAGTTTCATGTTCAGAAAGAACAACATGTATCTGTGGTAACAGAGATGCTAACTCCAGGACATGAATGATTGACATTTGTCTTCCATATTTACTTAACCTGCCACATTCTCCTGCCAAATATTCAAACTGATTATCTTCTTTGATATTATTTTAAGAATGCAAGACAGACTGATTAAAAGCTATAAGTGTGAAGCAGATAGTCTTTTTTGTGTTTAGCCAGACCCGATCCACCCACAAATAAGTGCAGGAATCTAGCACCGTGCCATGTTGAAGTGTTGACAGATATATATTAGCACCTGTCACTGTGTCTCTTTCCATCTCCAGTCACACATTCACACTTGTGTCTCTATTATGGTTTTCTGTTTATCTCTCCTCTCAGAATCAAAATACCTTTATTCGTCCCACGGAGGGGACGTTTACATTGTCACAGCAAGTAAAGAGCCAAATATAGCTTAATATTAATTAGGAAGCATGCGTAAAATATTAAAGATAAAAGTAGAGGTTACGCAATTTTCAATTGACAAAATAATATACATCCGGTACCAGTAACAGTTGTGAGATAGCAGCTAGGCGATAGTTTTAAAGGTGGAAGTATATATTGCACTCTCCGTCTGAGATAAAGAGAACTAAAAATAAACACAATTAACCCCATTGTCTCATTCCCCTCCCTTACACTCTCCTTTCTGTCTCTTTCTCTCCTTGTTCTTCCTTCTCCCCCTCCTCTTCGTCCTGACAGACAGATTTAGAGCTTCTGGACCCTCGGGGCCGGACCCCTCTCCACCTGGCGGTCACACTGGGCCACCTGGACTGTGCCAGGATCCTGCTGCAGCACGGAGCTGACGTCAGCAAGGAGAACCGCAACGGATGGACCGGTGAGTCAGGTGTGATCCTGGTGAACTAGATTCAGCATTATCTATAAATAATGTGTAATTGTCAACGTTTTATGACAGTGCGTTATAATGATAGTAAACAATAAGACCGTGGTGGAGACAGCGAGTAATTTATATCTAACAGCTGAACAGCATTTTGCCTTCATTAGAGGATACAAATGAAATGGGTTTGAACTATTTTTATATATTTATATCATCACAAATAAACGTGAAAGCTAGCTATAGTTGGAATTGTGAAGAGGTGCAATCCTTAATGTGTCATATAAAACATAGATTTTAGACAATCCAGACTAAAAATGTGGTATTTCTTTAGGCATTATGAGTCTTTTATATATCATTTAAGTGTGGAAAAGTTGTATAGATAGTAAGATTTTTTAAAAATTATATATTATAATTTTGTAATCCTTAGTAGTAACAACCAAATACATCAGGAAGGAAGCAAGTGGCTACTGATATTCTTTGAATGTGTGTACCCTCATGTTTTTATTATTGGCATTTAGTGATGTTAAAATGCTTAGATATCCAAAAGGGGAATTAAAAGCGATATTGAATTGCATCAGAAAGGGAAAATATGATGCTTGGTTCTTTTACTGTGTTTATTATTATGCAGAATATGTCCAGAAAATGTTCACTTGTAAAGAACATTCTTAATAATAATACATTTAATTTCAAAGCGCTTTTTCAGGTGCTCAAAGACGCTTTACAATGGTGATAAAACGAGATAAAATAGAATAAAAAATATTAAAACAGCAACACAACATAATTCACAAATGAAAAGCCAGTCTGAAGAGGTGTGTTTTGGTCAGTGTTTTGAAAGTGGGGGGGTCGGTGCAGTCTCTGATGTGTTGTGGAAGAGAGTTACAGAGGCAGCGATGGAGAAGGCTCTGTCCCCCCAGGTTCGGAGCTTGGTTCATGTGGGGATAGAGAGCAGGTTCGCTTCTGATGAACGAAGGCTGCGGGAAGGGGTGTAGTGGTGGATCAGGTCGGTGAGGTAGGGGGGGCCCTGGTTATTGAGAACTTTGTGTGTTAGCAGAAGGATTTTCTTGCATGTATTTAGACCAGAAGAGTTTAACAAGTCAAGCACAGTTGTCTCCTGCAGTACAAACCACATATACCAATGCTCAGCAAATGTTCAGTAAAAAGCAGTGTTTTGGTTGCAACCCCTGCTAAAAAATATGATAATATATAATGCATATTTAATATTGGCATAAAGTTTGTTTGTGCTCTGTTGTTTTTATAAATACTCACAAATCATGACGCTTTTCCTCATCACCTCTCTCGAAGAACAGCTTCTGCCAGACTCCTCTTATCTGCTGGCTAGCGCTGTGTAAATGCAGTTTGGCGGTCTAGCAATGGGTGACTAATGGAGCGTGAAATCAATACATTTTTAACCTTGAAATCATATTGGCTAATTTAACACCCTGTATTGTTAGTCCAATATCTTCCCCGCCATTCTTAGGCTTGTTAATGCTTACTGTCTGTCACCTCTAGGTTTGTGTGAAGTGGTTTCTGTTAATGGTGATGAAATGTAGCTCTAGAAATTGACATGTTTGGTATGGTCGTGATGGTTCTGGAAGTCTGGGGTTATGTAGAAAAATTCTTTTTTGTAACACCTAATCTAATTACTCTGAAGTGTGTCCGTAGGTGAAAAAGCAAGAGTGGTTTGTTTTAACTGTGTGTTCTAACTGTTTTCTGTCAAAGGAATAGAAAGGGAATTGTTATACAACCGTTCAAGCGTGGAACAGCCTGTGAGATTAACAGCAAAGTGCCCGTCCGATGAATGATTGGCGAGCTGCAGTAATTTGTCGTACCGGCTTTTCCTTTTGGCCTACTTCAGTTTTGGCAATTCTTTCTTCCCCCCTTTAAATCGCTCATGCACATACATTTTGGATGAGGTCTGAGTGATGGGCTCTGTTTTACTCTCCGTCTCTCGCTCTCTCTCTCAGTTCTTCAGGAGGCGGTGAGCACAAGAGATCCGGAGTTGGTGCGTCTCGTGCTTCGTTACCGTGACTACCAGAGGACTGCCAAGAGACTGGCGGGCATCCCCGTCCTGCTGGAGCGTCTGCGCCAAGTGGGATTTCACAAAACACACACACACACTCTCACACACACACACACACATTGATGCTAACATGGAAAAAGATACTCCCATGATAAAACAGCACACAAACAAGCGTGTTCAGTATGAAGCACATACATTAGAATAAAATCGAAATCAACATACAAAGACACATGGGGAGGCTTGTAAGCAGAGATGCATTCATTTGAAATGTACATTATTCTTTTTGATATTTATTTTTGTTTCATGATCAAATATTCACATTTTGTTTGAAGGTATTTATAACTTTGTTTACTTCCCAACAAGGGAAATACAAGGCAAAAGCCTGTTGTCTCTAAATAAATAGAGTTTCCCCTAAAGGGGTAAGAAGTGCAAGGCTTAAAGGCACATTAGCAGCCATTGGAAAGCTGAGACTATATGAGAATATACACAATTGAATCCTGATAGTAAAGTGTTGAGGTGCAGCAGATGGTGTTGCAGTAGTGGAGGATGCAGAGAGCAGAGATGGAGGGAACTGCCTTCACACAGCCTGTCTCCCTGTGTATCTGCACACACACACACACACACACACAAAATCCCACACACTCATTCTCTCCCACTCACATGGTAGACACAATACCCTCACAATCTGACAGAGTGCTCGCTCTCAACCACACAAGCACTTGCAAGCATCGCACACCGTTCTTCTATCTGCTGCTGCTCCCATTCACATCACTCTCCCCTCCAACCCTCCATCCTTCACTTCTATAATTAACCCGCACATTCATAACCACTTCTCTTTGCCAGTCCCCCCATCTTTGGAGCAGACAATGAGGAAGCATCCCTGCTTTGCCTCTGCGTTGCTATTCGCCTCTCTTTCTGTCTATCAATCTTTAAATGAATCACTTTCTATCTCCCCAACTTTCTCTATCTATTCTCTCTATCAATGCTTGCTGCTGTCTCATTTATCGTCCTCTGTTTCTCTCTCTTCCTGTTCCTGTCCAGGCCCAGGATTTCTACGTGGAGATGAAATGGGAGTTTACCAGCTGGGGTGAGTCCAGTCTTTCATTCCACTCAGTAAAGCAGAACAGTACCGACGAGTCAGAAATAATCACGTTATCGTCTCCCTCTGGGCCTGTTTCTTCCGGTTTTACTCGGCACTGATCACACACTTTCTGCACAGCAGAACGTACGTGAGGCTTCGAGTTAAACAGTGTGTGCTTTTTATCTTAAAGGGGACCTATCATGCAAAATGCACTTTTTTATGTCTTTTATACATAAATATGTGTCCCCGGTGTGTCAGGGAACTCACGCAGCGTCAGAAAATAAAACCTTCTCTCTTTTCCTCCGTACCCAAATCTCTAAAAACGGGCCTATAACGGAGCTGATGCAGATTTGCGTCCGATATAACGTAATATGGGAAATGTAGGCTGGCTTTACACCCACGGCACTATCAGAAACGTTGCTATTAGAAACAATGCCCGACTGTTTTGGACGTAATATGGTCAGTGTTTACATTAGCATCGCTAACACTCAGAGCTAACCTGTACTGGAGAGCATGTGTGTGAAGAAGCAGGAAATAAAAAGGAAGGCTCCATACTGTTTCAGAAATAATCCTTGATAATCCATGATATGGCGTTTCATCACCGCAGTATCTGCTGGTAGCATGTCCCGCATGAGCTCAGCCCCCTCCTTTTTTTATACATTTTTTTTTTTTTTAGAGCTTTATACCCCAAATTAGCACTTTTGAAACAAGAAGTGAAATAGAGGGATATGAGGCATTGCTAGAATGGGTGATCTGTTTGGTATTTTGAGCAAAACACTTCATAGACATGTTTTTTATATATCTGAGACCTATGCTATTGCCTAAAAATAGCATGATAGGTGACCTTTAAGTGTTGTTACAACCAACTGCTGAAATGTAGCACAGAGCTCGAAAACTGCCAACATAAAAACACCAGAAAGATATCTCTGGCACTTCATTCTGCACAAATTCATTGGAAATGGCACAGTTTGATTAAAAGAGTGTCTGTTTTATTCCTTAGTGCCCCTGGTGTCTCGTATCTGCCCCAGCGACACCTACAGAGTTTGGAAGAGCGGTCAGTGTCTCCGCGTCGACACCACGCTGATGGGCTTTGAACAGATGACCTGGCAGAGAGGAAACCGGAGCTTCATCTTCAAGGGATTAGGTCAGAGGTTAAAAAAAGCATGTATAAACGGATCTTTAAGTATTTAATACAATACAGCAATCAAAACAATACTGGCTGAACTGTCACACTATTTTAAAGGAACATTTTAGGAAACAAACTCTTTTCTTAAGACTCTGGGAAATAACTTAGTCGCTTGACCTACCAAATTGTGCATTGGCTTATTTAATAAGCATGTGTGTTGTTTCTCTGTCTTTGGCTGGGCCACTTCATCTTCTTTTCTACTCCCTTTCTATCATCCTGTTCTCCTCTGCTTTTCCTTTCACATTTGCATTTGTATAATTAGATAACCCTGCTTTCACGACAAACATGTGGTGTAATATCCTTAGTCTGCTGTAGGTATTGAAGTAATATTGAGCAGAAGGATTATGATCACAATTGTGTAATATTGTAGAAAACAAGCCTCCAGGATCATCTTCACTTCAATACACTGAATTTTAAATAACACATTCCCGTATTTAAGAACCACTCAGTGTTCATGAAATGAATGTGGGATGGAGCAAATATTCACACAGAGACACACCTGCACCTTTGCCGTAGGATCCTCTTTCTCCGCCTGCCTTTTTATATCCTCATCGCAGGCTGTTTCCACTCCTCTGCATCATTTCGCCATGTTCCTCTTTTGTTTCTGTCTTTATTTCTCTCACCACTTTAAAATTATCCTCTTCTTCCCCTGGACCTTTTTAAATCCCTTCACAATGTTCTTTAATTTGCTCTTTCCTTTTCTCTGTCCCACTGCGCGCACACAAACACACTCTCTGGAAATCATGATCTTTTTTTTACTTTTCCTTCCATATGTGCTGCAGACTCATTTGTCGCATTGTATTGTAATACTTCCCCACTGTCCATTTTGAATCTGCCTCTTATGCTCACTAACATCGTCCTTGTTTTTCCTCTTCCTGTCTGTCCCCCGCTCTCCTCTCAGACTCCAGCGCAGAGGTGATGGAGGTCGACCATGACAGGCAGCTTGTCTTCTGCGAGACCTTGTGCGTCTCGTCTCTGGCGGCGCTCTCACCTGGCCGGGGGAACGGCGGCGCCTGCAGCAGCAACGACGCAGGTTTGGGCCTTCTGGGGGCGATGCAGCCCAGCGACGAGCAGGTCGCAGCTAGGCTGTCGGCCCCTGTGGTCACCACCCAGCTGGACACCCGCAACATCGCCTTCGAGAGGTCAGACGCAAACCTAACACACACATAATATGAATATGAGAATGTGGAGGTATAGTCCAGTGGTGCAGAAATCTTCCTCTAGACCCAAACCAATTCCGTTTCAAGTAAGAAAGCATAGCTATGAAGTCAGATTTCAAGCTGTATTTGTCATTTTGTGCTGCAACATTTTATAATGTGATTTATCCATTTCCAATGCAGCTGCAACAGAATTTACATCAGAATTTCGTATAACACTGCTGAGAATCTTTATTCTATGTTAAACAACCCATCAAGAAGAATAAATGTTCCATAGAACAAGCACAATGCTGATGTTCTCCATGCACAGTAGCCTCTGTACAACACAATGTAATTCAGCTTCGGGACTTTCTCTGCTCTGAAAGCTGGCTTTTTTTCCCTGAGAGGAGAAAATCACTCTTTTGTTGTGGAATTTCTTTCACTGTTGCTGTCTCACAGCAGTGGAACAAGTGCATGCACGTTCTCTGGTGGCTGTCAAAAAGCATTGCACAAAAAGTAGGAAAATACTAACGTCCCAGCAGTATTATAGGAAGTTACATTGGTTTCCTTTACGAAAGGTAATTCATAATTGATTTTTTATGTGAGCTCATTTTGCAAAAAATGTAAAAATAAATGTGCGAGTAGTTATAATGCTCAACACCACACTGGAAGTCAGATGCATTGATGACAGATTGAGAGCCAGATAGCAGAACGAGAAACAATGGAAGAATCAGACACAGCCTGACCGAGAGACGAATGGAGGAGAATACAATTGGATGAGTAGGTGAATTTCGTTCAGTCAATGAAGGAGCATTTTATTATGCTGCGGTACCCTTTTACCGATCAGTTTCACACAAAGTGACAACGACGCAGAATTGGAATGAAGTGTAAAGGAGGGGAGAATATATTGAGAACATTTGGGCCAATCAGAGGCATAGGGGAAACAATGATTGTAGTGAGATAAGACTGATGTGACAGACAGAAAGAGAGGTGAGAAAGGAGGGAATAAATACAAAAAAGTATGGAGCAGGATAGGAATATTGATGAATAAAAGAAAGGGGGTGGGACAGAGAGAAATAAGAGGTAATATACAATACACTGAGAGAATCAGGGAGAGAAAGATATATGAGACAATGGGGGATAAAGTACAATATGGTTGGTAAAACAGGGAGAATCAATAGTTTTGGAGGAAAGAGGAGAAAAGGAATTGACAGCAGGGAGACAGTGATAGATAGGTGGATAATGGAAAGAGTTGAGCTGAAAGGAAGTGAGTGTTAACAGATAAAAAGCAAGAAGACTGGAGGACAGAGAGAAGTTAGCAGGGAGAGGTGGTGTTGGGGGTGTGTGTGTGTGTGGGCGGGGGGTAATCATCCTGCTGTCAGACTTGTACTTCAGTGTCACCTCTGAGCATTTTCCCTGCTCAGCACTCCTGTCTACATGCCAATAATGTATTTATGATGCTTTAGAGCAGCCACTTTGTCAAGCACCACGGACAGGACATCCACCTGGAGTTAATAGGTCTATGTGCAGCCAAGCAGAAAAACAGCTCCGCAGTTTGGCTTTTTTTAAGGGCCAGGTTAAAGAGTACAACGTTTATTCATTGAGTCAATGCCCAGTAATTGAGCTAATACAGTATATAACGTCAAAGTTCAGACAGGGACGTAACTTTGTCTTACATTGAATTGGTTGGAGAACAAGACAAAGGCTACACATTACATCACATGTCATTTAGCAGTTTATCCAAAGCGACTTATATACCCTTCAAGAAGCCTGCAATTTGATTGTAGGTACATTATCTTGCCCAAGTACACTTCGACTAGAGACAGCAGTGGTGAGATTGAACCACTGACCATCGGTTTGGGATGGTCCTGACTCCCCCCCCCGATGCACAGTTGCCCATATAGTCATGTCATTGTCTGTATCAGACTTTACTTAGGCACATCAGTGCTTTCTGCTAAATGCTAACATCAGTATGTATTCTAATGTAAGCTTGTATCTTACCTTCACAAGTTAGCATGCTAACACCATATTACCTTAGCATTTTAGCATGCTATCATTTGCTAATTAGAACAAAACCCTATATTTCGCTATACAGCCAAGGCTGATGTAAACGCTATTTGACATTGAAATCATTATTAGCTTCCCAGGATGATTAGATGATCATCCAAGAAGTTTTCTCTGGCGACAAGATAGCATTTTGGTCATAAACCAAAGTATCGGACACATTTGAAATGATACCTGATTATGGTGCTACAGTAGATGATATGTCAGAGTCACGTCAATTCATCCTGAGGGAACATAATGTCTGTACCTATGGTCTGTACCTAATGTCTCTGACTGAAATCCGGTCCCGAAGGAGTTCGGTGAAGGGAATAGATCTTGAAGATGGGATATGCCTCACTAACTTCGGAGCAGACTTCCTAATTGCGCGCTGAACTACTGATCTTCACAGGCGACAACCAAGGACAGAGGCAGCAGTGTTTTCAGGCTGTAAATCATGGGGAAAAACAAAGCCTGTGATTTGCAACGTCACCTGTATTTGTGATTTCCTCTGATTACATATATGCAGATTTGCATGAGACAGCCAATAATCTACAGCAAGTGTGGTTGTAACTGTATGATAAGTAAAAGTGGAGACCACAAGATAACTGATGTTGAATCTCTGTTTCAGGAACAAGACGGGAATATTAGGCTGGAGGAGCGAGAAGACTGAGACGGTGAATGGATATGAAGCCAAGGTTAGGAATACTGATCCCTCACACTATCCAGAGAAACCGCCGCTGTCGGAGCTCAGTTTAATATTTCCTGAAAGTCCACTTCACTTGAAGAGTTCAATTTCCAAAAAGAGTCACTCCCAAGGTTATTATAAAAACATTTTTAAATAGTGATGGATTAAGTTCTCTTCCAGGATTCTTTACTCTCACATGAGGAATAAATCATCAGCACATTAAAGACCAGATCGCGTATCAAAAAAAGTTTTTAAAAAAAAGTCCATCTATCTTGCAGGCACATGCATTACCTTGACCCCATTTGTTGTTTGTTGAACCCCTGGTGGAATCGTGTGTCAGACGCTCAGGACCATCTGTCACTAAGCAGTAAAACACTGCTGGCCTAAAAAGCATATTTTTTTCTGCATCATTGATTTAGAGCTACAAACATAAACAGACACTTCCTGTTGAGCTGCTCTCCCGCTGACCAATTTTAGCACTTCCTTCCATTTGTCCGTGGCCCAGTGTAAACTCTGAATCTGCAGCCTGTTCAATTTTTAATATGCAGTTCCTTTTTTGTTGTAACTAGTGGGGAATGCCAGTATTCTGCTGTGAACAACGCCTTGTAATTGCTGTCATGTATCAAGCAGACGAGGAACAAAGGGTGTGAAATTGGGTTGTTTTGTAAATGTTTCATACATTTGTTTTCTCAGTGGCCAATTTATGTAAGTAATCTAACATTAAAATATTCTGAATAAGTAATCAAGAAAACAAAAGAATAAGTCAGTAAGTCTTTTGAGTTATTTTTTTCAAATCTGCTCTTTGCGACCATCAATATGTAACTCTAATATTGCTTTTTGTGGAGACCCTGCATCCTCTTAAACACTGTACATGTATTTGTCTTGACCTTTTGGCAAACAAAGTGGTGTGCTGCACAGTCCATAAAAAAATAACAAACATTAAATATTCCCTCAAATGGTGCAATAACAATGCTTTATGCTAATGGCTGTATTTGGCTGCATTCAGCATTCTGCAAGCCAAGTTCAAGGAAGAGAACATGGTTTCCCCTTTAATACTTTTACACATTCTGTTTTGATATGGCCAGATGATAACATATTTAATAATACATTATTATTATTATTATTGTTGATTATTATTATTTTATTATTATTATTATTAAAGGTGGGGTAGGTAAGTTTCAGAAACCGGCTCGAGTGCACTTAAATTTGAAAGTACACAGCCGAAAAGAATCCGCCCCTTCCTTCAGACTTCCTTGCAGAGCACCTCCTCCAACACACATGAACGCGCACATGACGTCAGCAGACTGGTGAAAGTGGCCGCCTGTTGCTGGCGAGTCATTGAAGTACTGCTGCAATGCACGCCCAATGACGGCACGCCCAATGAGGGCACGAGATACATTTGTGCGTGCACGAGATGGAAGGCTGACAGACAGGGCAGCAATCCAATCCGTTTAGCCGGCCCGGCTAAACGGATTGGTTGTACTTTTTACAGCACTACGGCTTCCACAGATGACATTTTTTAATGGATTTGTTGTCAAAGCACTTAAGATATTCATTGCTATCGGGATGTTAAGAGCATTCCATGGAATATAACAAAAAGTGTATCTCAAACTTACCTACCCCACCTTTAATATTCATTATATGTATTATTATTAGTATTATTACTTTTAGTTTTTATCATATTTTTGTATTACTATTCATATTTTATATCATTTGATTGCCCATTGGTTCCTCTGAAATATTTCACCAAGTTCCTCTTCTATCTTTGCCTTAATTTCATTCAACTTTATTATTATTATTTATTTTTTAAATCATACTGTACATACAGCAGTGGGGCCTTAACAACAGAGCACTAGTCAATTGTCTCTTCCTATTTCAGGTGTACGCAGCATCCAACGTGGAGCTTATCACCAGGACCAGAACTGACCATCTGTCAGACCAGAACAAGAACAAGACAAAAGGTAAGTCGTACTGCAGTGCCTCCTGCCTCGGACACCGGCATCTATTTGTCCATGAGGGGTTTATCATGTGCAGGTGCATTACAGCTGCAGCAGCTGCATTTCTCCATTATCCCCTCTGTGCCCTGTGCGATAAAAGAGTCACTGATGAGTAATCCCTCTCACCTGAGCTCGATGAGATCACCCGAGGCTCCGGCTAACAGCCTGTAACGTTTGCTCCGTGGCTCCGTCTTGTTTTCTGGTTCACATCATAAATCAAACAGGATTAGCCGTCTTCCCTCCCCGGACTGTCGCTGTCTGCAAGTATCAACCATCAAATGTTCCTCTGAGGGTTTGAGTCTCCCGGGTCACCATCTGCATTCTGCTTATATGCAGGACGGAAAGGACTTGGAGACGCTACAGGGACTCCAGGATGAGTCTCTCACTCCATTTGCTCTTTTCTTGTACAGCATTTTGTCAAAACTATTGAGTACTTTGAGAGTGATATCCTAAGAGGGACACATACTGTATCTTGAGACAGATCCAAAATATGGACACGACCAACCACACCACAACAGTGCTGTCATTACTAGTAACAGATGGACCTTTGCTTTTAGCCCTGAGTCAGTTTCTGAGTTAGTGAGGACCACCGCACATCAGTTCTGTCTGAAAGTACAAGCCACACACTAACAAGCTTTTCTTTGCTGCTCATATCTCTCTCATATCTCAATGAGCAGCAGCTGCTAGTATTCCCATGGGCTCTAAAACAAAGAGTTCCTTCAAAGTATGGGCCTGAAATGGTTTGCTCTCAATCAACCATTACTCTCATCGATGGGATCCGACACAAACACATCATTTTCTGAGAGTAACAGCTGTTTAGCTTAGGTTTCACAGGACAGATACTTGTACTTGAAGTAGGCAGGGGCTCAGTCAGAGTAAGTCAAAGTCATGTTAAGGACCAATCAGAACGCATTACATATGAATCAAAATGGTCGGTGGGTTTTCACTCTGTCCAACTACTCCCACACAGTCCTTATGAAGCAGATTGGCTGAGTTTTTTAAAGCTATATTCTTGATATATTATTCAAATTAAAATGATATCATTAATATGTTTTGAAATTAGTTTAGGAGCAAAAGCAGGTTGTTTGAAGATAAACAACTGGGAAGGTTGCTTCAATAGGTTGGAACTGTAACTGATAGTCAAAGATTCATGACGTTTCAATGAGGGGAAAATAGCAGATGTCAATTAATTAATGTCATTTTGAAAAAATCATATCAGAAACAAATTATTATGCCAAGCAGAGGACTTTTATGGGTCTTAAAATGTCTGGAGGGATACTTTAAAATCCAAAGAAGGCAGCTTGATCCTCCCCCACATTTTTTTCTTCTTCCAAGACCAGTTCTCTCTTACTGCTGCAGTCAATCCCTAAAGGCAGAGCTGGTTCTGGACCATTAAAACCCACAGGAGCCTGCTGTTCTTTCAAGACTCCCCTTAAAGTACAGAAAGAACATCTAACTTTTACTGAAGTAATTAACTGTAATACTCAATACACCATTAGCCACCATATACTACAGGTACACAATAAAATACCTGCGCGCATTAACCTGAGCGAGCCTTTTTTTTGTAGTGCTTATGAACTTAGAATTTGTATAATGTTCGTTTGCGTTTGAACAAACTTTATGTATTTACAGTGTAATGATAAACATATATAAGTGTAACATGATTTACACTAGCAACTTACTACATAGGGTTTATATATTGTGATTGTTTATATATTGTAACTTTCAGGTGATGAATCTTTCATGGAATTCATATTACTGCAAGTTTTGGATCCAGATGTTTGGGATATTATTTTAGAGTGATTCTGCTTAAGAGCTGAATTCACTTCAGTTAAATCCTGTTCAGTCCTCTTCATTGTATTCTGGCTCAAGGTTGATGAAAAGTTATCTTGAGTAAAACATTGCAGAGCGAGAGGCACCACAGATTCAACTATAGAGATTTATGAGTGCATGCGTCATCATCTCTTGATAAGCAAGCATCAACAGAAGCTTTGGTTGCTCTGCAGTGACAGTTCATAAGACTCAGACTAGCAGGACAGTGTAACCAAAGGCTAACTCATCACTGCTGTGTGTCTCAGGTGGGAAGACTCCTCTGCAGAACTTCCTGGGGATAGCTGAGCAACACATGGGGCCCAACAACGGGGTAAGTGAACACTTTATTTACATTACATTCCAATTTGCATGATTCTCCAGCGGTCTAGTGTGTTCAATGGGTTGAGAAAATGTCATTAAACCTTTTCAAACCCAATCTAATAAATGAAACACACAGCAGCTGAGCGAGGAACCCCTATGTTTGCACCTAAATGCAGTGATTAATGAGTGTTGCTGCTGGTACTCATGAAAGGTTTTTTTTCACCGTCATAAGAGTCGTGGTCCACTGTGTCGACAGGAGAGCGTGCCTGCAGAGTAAAACTTTGTCAGCCTTTCATAAATTGATGTTTTTTTTGTTTGGTTTATGCTGGAGAGCTTATGACTCATACCTCCTCTTTCGGTTTTTTCTTTCTCCCTTGTTCCCCCTCCCTGTCATCTCTGCTGTTTTCAACGTCATGCCTCTTTATCCTCTCTACACAAGCTTTTTTTGATGTAAAATTAAAATGTTACTAGAGATCTCTTCAATGGCCTCAAAGCAGGCGCACCGTCAAATCATGTCAAAGGCTTGAAGTGTGTGTGTGTCTATTTGATGACATAATTAAAGACTCACAAGGTTAAAACAATACCAGCTACACTCTGTTGCGGCTGGTGATAAACTTTATTGATAGCAATTTTCTTAACAATGATACAAAGAGTTTTACAGAAGAAAATAAAGCCACTGAGAACAAGGCCAAAGGACACGAGCACTGAGGAGATAGATAACAAAAAGGAATGAAGATAAAAATAAATTAGGCATAGAAACAGTCATAATAAAAACATTTATCAAACTTTCCCAATGAGAAAATATGGGATATTTAGGGAGCAAGATACTTGGTGTGTGTCTCAGTTCAGTAGGCAGAGGGTAACACAATGAGGGGGTATTAAGAAACAATACAAACCATGTCCTGAGGAACCAGAATTGCGTCATCTGTGTATTTTGGTGCACTCCAACTGTCAAGTCTCCTCTGTTTTTGGTGCAGTTTCCCCACTTGAAAAAGGGACTTGAGGAATCTACTGGACTTTGAAACAGGATTCCACTCCAATGACACAGCTTTTCTTTTCAGACTTTTATTTCAGCAGTTTACTTAAAGGAGCAGTAGGTACGTTTGAGAAACCGGCTTGAGATACACTTTTTGTTATATTCCATGGAATGCTCTTAACATCCCGATAGCAATGAATATCTGAAGTGCTTTGACAAAAAAATCCATGAAAAAATGTCATCTGTAGAAGCCGTAATACTGTAAAAAGTACAACCAATCAGTTTAGCCGGCCCGGCTAAACGGATTGGATGGCCTACCTGCCTGTCAGCCTCCCATCGGGGCACACACTTATCTCGTGCCCTCATTGGTCATGTGCGCGTTCATGTGTGTTGGAGGAGGGGCTCTATAAGGAAGTGGCAGATTTTCTCCGGTTGTGCATTTTCAAATTCTAGCGATCTCGAGCCCGTTTCTCAAACTTACCTACCCCTCCTTTATTAAACAAACGTCCAATTGCTGAATGGGTCATTTTGTGTAGGTGAAAAACCTTTGAAAACAAGAAAGATGAATTTAGAACTTACAAGTTATCAAGATAAATAAAGCATGTAAATAAAAGCATGTAAACAATACACTTGTTTGGCAACTGCTGCCTCAATTGTTACAAATAGACTGGGCAGACTAAGCACAGAAAAATCAATTTTAAACATGAAAACGTTTCTTTAAACCCAAGCTCTTTTAAAATCTCAGCAGATTGAATTAACTGGACTTTACTAGAAATGTTTTTAACAAATCAAATTAATTATATTAAAACAAGAAAATATTATTTCCTCCATTTTAACAGAAGTATTCAACCAAGATTTTATTAGCAATGTTTTTAATAAATCAAATTAATTATTTGTAACAAGATTATTCCTCTCCATTTTCACAGGAATATTCAGTGAATTAAATTAACAGGATTTTATTAGAAAGGTTTTTAGTAAATCGAAATTAATACTTTTTAAGAATAAATATTTTATTGAATTTATTGTTCTTCTCCAAATCAATTTAACATCCTAAAATCGTATTCCTTTTAACAGCTATCAGAGTAGGCTAATTGTATGATGTTAAATTATAACTATAGGTCCTTATTTTATGCTTTTGACAACAAATAACAGAGCGTCTAAACTCAGAATGTTCTGCAAAATTAGCGCACCAAATTGAAACTTGCATATATCACCAATGACGCGTAGAGTTCTAAAAGGACACGTGGCACACACGCAAACAATTTAACACAACATAAACATGTTAGCGCACCGTGGCTCTGCGGAGCTCTCACACAACATTATGGATCTGAGTGTCTTACCGACTGCCTGTCCTGACTTTGTAGAAATGCCTCCCGTCTACACGCTTCTACCCGGCTCGCACGCACCAACTATTTAACTCCTTCTTCAGGATGCAGCACTGGGCTCTCTGATTAGGGTGATTACAACCAGCTTGCCAGAGGAGGCAGGACCGCCTGCGATCATTTTACACTCGTTTTCTATCCCTATTAATTGGTCATTTGTATTATGAAACATATTTGTAAAGCTAATGATTTAATTTATTAAAATTAAGCTATTTTGTTATTGATATGTATTTTATTTTTCGACTAGTTAGGCTCTGTTTGACTTTACACCAACTGAAAGAAAATTATAAATATGGAAATCATTTCTCTTCTGTTTCTTCAGTAATGGTGGCCTTCCTTTGACAAGTTAACCAGTCATACTTAACAGTCAACACTGAGCTACAAATTAGAGCATTGAACCAACAGAGGCATACTATAATGATGTAAAATACTGGAATTAGAAAACTGCTGAGTCATGTTCTCAAGTCTTTTCTCTTTTCACTGGGCTGCTGCAAATGTCAGTAGGTGAGAGGAAAGCCTTGAAATCCCAGTGGTGGTGGGTTTTTTGTTCCACCACAAAAGAGAAAAGCAAATAGAGCGAGTTTGAAAAGCCAGAAATCTCTACACTTTATAAAGTCATCCGTTAAAGAACGATTTATTCCAACACCAGCAGGGCCAGCAGCCAAACCCTTTTAAACTGTGCAATTCAGCATAAACATATTATGATTACTACTGTATATATTTTAATATAAGTTATACTGTTTATTGTAGTACATTTTTATCTTAACTTCTTATTTTTATATAAATATTTGTTATCTTTTATTGGACATTTTCCAGACTTCTTATGTTTATAAAATTATTGTATTTAATCTTTTTATTGCACATTCTTACCGTTACTTTTATTTTGTGTCAATTAAATTACACTAAAAAGTGTGTTCATTTTCATTTTTTTCAATATAAAACAAGTGTCACAAAATAAATGAATTTTTCTTCTTCTGATTCATATTACTGGTATTGTTTATTAACAGTATACTTTTAATACATTGCATGGATCCTAACTATATTTAAAATGGCATCATATGGCTACATCAAGATTTTTAAATATGTATCATTGACTTCCTGCAGGCTCTTGTGACGCAGATGTCGAGTCCCGCTAAGACCAACCCTGAAGCGCTGACGGCTGAGGAATACTTCAACCCCAACTCGTCTCTGAGTCAGAGGGACATCGGCCACCAGTGCCAGCTCACCACCAAGACCCAGAGGTGACTCAGACAGACAGACAGACAGACAGACAGACAGACACACAGACAGACAGACAGGGACACAGACAGACAGACAGGGACACAGACAGACAGGGACACAGAAAGACAGACACACAGACAGACAGGGACACAGACAGACAGGGACAAAGACAGACAGGCAGACAGCGACACAGGCAGACAGGGACACAGACAGACAGGGTCACAGGCAGACAGGGACACAGACAGGGACACAGACAGGGACACAGACAGGGACACTGACAGGGACACAGACAGGGACAATGACAGGGACACAGACCCTCTTCTCTCAAGGGCAAAGTGCCAGAGCTGACAGACTGATGGACAGAGAGTAGACAGGCTCACACACACAAACAGACAGGTTTTAAATTAGCCGTCTACTATAACTGCTGACCACTGGGATCCTGATGGGAAATGAACACACACATATCTTATTAGCTCAAGACACATGATCTTTCCTTAATAAAGTTGTCCTCATCCATCTGCCAGCCTGCTGTCCGATCCTCTGCCCTGTGTTCCTCTAACGGCCCGACTATTTCCAGTTGTCAGTTCCATTGTCGTTTAATAAAAAGTGACAGGACATTATGAGAATGAAGTGTTGGAGGATTCAGAGCTGCCTCTCACTGCTGTTCTCATAATCTGACAAGTTGAAATATAAGCATTGATTCGCCTCAATTTGAACATGACTCAGCAACTTGTGGACGGTCGCTATATGCTTACGTAATCAATGTATCTGTGTAACTGTGGCCAAAGACTTACATTGCTTCACTGAAGACAGAACAGTTTTTCATCAACAAACTCCATTACTGGTAGTGTTGTGCTAGTTACTGAAAACCAGTAACTAGTTACCATTACTAGTTACTTCATTTCAAAAGTAACTCAGTTACTTTACTAGTTACTTACACCCAAAAGTAATGCGTTACTGTGAAAAGGTCACGTTTCCGTTACTCGAAAAAAGGTCTCACATTAATGCCCTTATAGCCTTCATTTCAGTACTGTTATTGCATTGGAGAATAATACAATCTGTTGATCAACTTCACATGCATTATATGCAATCTGGATTGCATCGATATTAGCTGGCTTTCCATTTTTGTATATTCTTTCTCCAGGTAGTTGGAAAAAGTTTTCCGTCCCATATGCCGTGTGCCGCCCGGACATGCTATCATGCTAACTAGCTCCCTGAAAGCGGGTGACTCCACTGTAGCAATAGCCTGCATGTGTTCTACAACATACCGTGCAATGGCTTTATCGACTTTTCCCTGGCCAGCAGTCCCTTGGTTAAAATCCAGCCGCTGTTGCTTAGGTGGAGGTGGAGTGGCGTCGGCTGAGTCTCTGTGGTCTTAGCTACTAGCTTCGTCCCAGCATGTTGTTTTTGCAGATGTTTTAAGAGATTTGAATTACTGGTTTGGGCAGTAGATAGGATCTTTGACCCGCCAAGACACAACTTACATTGAACTAAAACGTTCTTTTCTTTGTGCTCGACAAAAGTGAAATAGTGAGAATATCTCCAGGTGGAGAAACTAGACTTGAGCTCCGCCGCCGCCATGATAGTCTTGTTAGTAAACAACACAAACACGCCCACAGCCCGTCTCCGCATGTGACACAGGAAGTATCTAAGTACATTTACTCAAGTACTGTACTTAAGTACAGTTCTCATCTCTGTTCGCCTGGCTGTTGACTATATAAAAAAAACTAACGGAGTAACGCACCATGTAGTAACGGTAACTGAGTTACTGAATTTAAAAAGTGACGCGTTACAGTAACGCGTTACTTGTAACGCGTTAGTCCCAACACTGATTACTGGTCACCTCATCAGTATCCTCGTGTGTGTGTTTTGTTTCCAGGTTTAAAGCCAAGTTGTGGCTGTGCGAGTCGCATCCTCTGTCCCTGGCGGAACAAGTGGTGCCTATCATCGATCTCATGGCCATCTCCAACGCACTGTTTGCTAAGCTGCGTGACTTTATCACTCTGCGTTTGCCGCCTGGCTTCCCCGTCAAGATCGGTGAGTGCTGGCCGGGAGAGTGAGATGGATGAAAGATGGAAGGACGGCGGGAGGGAGGGAGGTTAAGATGATGGCTAGTCAAGTAGAAGGGATGATGGGAAATTAAAATAGATCTAAGAAGGATGCTCAGAAATGAAGACAGAGGGATAAAGGGAGCCAAAAGGATAGACAAGTTAGCAATATGCGCCCTATTGTTTATTGGATTATTTTAGTACTTTTACTTTTTATTTTAAGTATATCATATGTTGCATTGTAATGGAGCCTGAGACTTTGAATTTGAATAGCCAAATCTACAATGTAGTTATTGTGCAAATGACAAAAAAGCCTTGTAATCCTTTGAATACAAGAGTTAATATCAAGGCATGCATTGTTATTTGGATGATGAGACCAAATAACTTTTTTCTCTCCCCATTTATTTCTTAAACTGTACTTACAAAGGCAAGAAAGCCCAAAAAGTATCCTTAAAAGAAGATTCAAATGTCATCATCTCCTGTTCTATTCCTCTCCCTGCAGAAATCCCTCTCTACCACATCCTGAACGCCAGGATCACCTTCAGCAACCTGAACGGCTGCGAGGAGGGGACGGGCGTTCGCACGGACAACGAGGTGGGGGTGGAGGGGGACGGCCAGAGGGACCCCCCGAGGACAGACACCCCGTCTCCAGGCAGCGACTCCTCCAGTGTCTCCAGCTCCAGTTCCACCAGTAAGAACACACTCCCAAACACACAGCAGTATTTCCTGTTTCTGACATATTCTTAGCTGATGAAATGACATGCGAGTGTCATCTCAACTGTATATTCTGCAGATTTACTTCAACTAAGTTTCATGAATCTCACTACATCATTTACTGCATAACCTGGGCCATACTTCACTCCGCAAACAGTCTTAACAGTTGTGTTATTAAGTTATGTTCCTTGTGTTGTGTTTGAAATTGTTGCTGGGTCATCATTCACCTTATCACTTCATTTAGAATCCCAATAGCCACGTTAAATCTGCAGCCATGCGAAGAAAGGAGATTTACTGTGGGACAGCAAAGCTCTCTGGAAATCCTTGACGTTATCTAACTTGAGTTATAGTCCTGTGAAAATACAGGCAGTTGAGTAGAGGCAATACATTGGCAAGAGTGAAAGGAAAATGACTTGATGTTTTTAAACTCTTCCTCTCGCTCAGAAAATACTCGTTTTGTCCTCCCTGTTCTTCTCCTTCAGTATAATGTCCTTTACTGTTAGATAACACACCTCTCCATCTCCTGCCCTTTGCCTTCCCCCTGTGTGCTGCAGTGTCATGTCGAGCCGGAGAGATCCCCCCGTGTGTGTTTGAGCCCCCGCCTGGATACTCCATGATGGGGGGGAAACAGAGAGACAGCATGAGGGATGAGGAGGAGGACCTGCTGCAGTTCGCCATACAGCAGAGTCTGCTGGAGGCCGGCTCTGAATTTGATCAGGTGAGCTGACTCTGATAATCTTCTGTTCTGATAACACAGAAACTAACCAGTCGGACATCCCATAACAAGACCTGTCCCTTGGTTACTGTTGCTACGCAAGCTGTCATTCTTGCATGGCATAAAAGGATGTTAACTAAAGGGGAGCCAGGGGCAGTCTTTGACAATATGCTTATTTTGGCATGCATTTATATTCTTTTATATTTGTATGATCATGGATTATGTATTTAAGATTGTTACGTTCCCTCCAAAGGAAGAATATTTTGCCATCATCATTAAAGCATGGCGACACATTTCCAACCCCCCCCCTTTCACTTAGAGTACCTAAAATAAAAGTACTTGTTGTTTTATAATTATTGATGAATAATTGAATCTATTACAGCTGGTAAAGGTGGAGGTAATTTAGTTTTGTATACTGCTGCTTAAACTAGAGTGATGTATATATATTTACTAATTCATTTATATTTGGTATTATCTAATGAATCTGAATCTATAAGTAACTAAAGCTGTCAGATAAATTCAGTTGAATTGGCTTCCAAAAACGTTGTGGAGTATTAGTATAAAGTAGCAGTATCTCAAAATTGTACTCAAGTATAGTTTAAAGAAAACACAAAAATCAAAAACATGGTAAAGCTCTCACAATTAATGGCACTTCACACAATTTAAAATGATAATAGATGCAGATGTACTGCATGGAAATCTTAACCTGTTTTGCCCTACAGACTAGCCATGCCTTGCTATGGCTGCTTCATCATTATTCGACAATTGCATTTCAGTGGAGGGTCTTGTAGGGAGACATTTCCCCCATGATATTCCCAGTAGAAGTTAGAGCAGTAAATTCACCAATAAGTCAAGCCAGAAAAATACAAACACTGAATTGGAAAAAAGGCATCCACTTTTTTGCTAAATGAAAACAATACTTGAGCAAAATCAATAAGAAGAATACTGCATGTGGTATTAAACTCTGCCTCAGGAAAGGTGTTGTTTTGAAATCCCAGAGATGCTGCTGCTGATAGTCCTTGGCCTTATTCCAGAGGAACAGAGGTAAGTATAAATAGTCTTGGTGAGACAAGTCACAGAACATCCTCAGTGTTTTCTCAGCACAGGGGTTGAATGTGGAGGAGGCAGAAGCAAGGTTTCAGCTGAGGATTTGTACAAAGTGTATCTTCCAGTGCTTCAAACTGTGACCATTTTAATTACAGATCTAATTTGGAAGCAGGGACAGGTGTTAAGCGACCACACTGCTGACATTGCATGCAAAACCATTTGAACTAACCTACAAATAACATACTATCTTCTTAAACACACCATTTGCTTTTTTTTATCACAGTTTTCTTTAATTATACTACAGCATGAAACAAATGTAAGCATGTGAGATATATTTATGTAATAGTTTTGTGGTTGTCCAGCTTTTCCAACCTTGGATGTTGCAGGTGCAGAGAGGTAGTCTACATTTACAATGTTGTTATTGTTACATTTGTGGGGAGCTTTCGACATTGTAGAAGAGGGATTTTGAGAATATATAGCATCTTCTTAAAGTAGGTCAAATGGGCGAAATGTTTGACTCAGATGTCTTGAATGTCAGAGTTACTAGCATCACTTGAATGCACCAATATGTGTTTTCCTATATACAATAATCACTGTATTTAAATTGTTATATTATATTATTGTTTACTGTAATATGACCCTAGACAACTTTTAGTTTCAATGATTTCATATTGAATGAAATTGTAATAAAAGGGATAACACATGTTATAATAAATGGTGAGTACAGTATATGTGCAATTTGTTGTGAAATCATGCAAAAGCACCCTTAAACGAGACATTTTTGTTATTGTCAGTATTAATGGTATATTGTGTATTAACAGTGTAGGATTTTACCAGCTGCTTACAGTATCAATATTAAAAACAGTATTAGTGGTTCTAAAGAGCCAGGGCCAGAATGGATTTAGATTTGTTTACATTCAGATATTCATAATTCATAATCAGCTGGCAGCGTCTCTGCTGTTTGTGAGAGGTTCTTCAGTGCACATTAACAGAAAGGAGGATGCTTTTGTTTTACCACTTCTCCTTATCTGTCTACTACCCACTTCCTGTGCTTGCTCTCTGACTTCCTGTGCGGCCTCCTCTTTGTGTCTAGGTGACCATCTGGGAGGCGCTGACCAATAGCAAGCCAGGAACAAACACGCCGTCCTGTGATCCGAGTCGTCTGGAGAGGTCAGTCTCGTTTATTTTATCAGACATAAAACTAGGACGTTTTTATTGATATTTTTGTCATACTTAACAAAGACATTTTTCAACACACTATATTATGATTTCTGATATTTTAAACATTTTATACTACCGGTACATGATATTATATCATCTGATTAAACATATTTTGTTCATCTTCTACTCTTCTTACCTACTTTTTAATAAATGACTGTTTACACCCATTCCACATTTTCCTAACCCCTCTATTCTCAGGAATTAACCAGGAGTTGCATACAGTATGAAGTTGATTAAAAGTTGTTAATATGAAGTGGGCTTTTCTCTTCAAAAGAGCTGTAGTCCTCAAACATATATAATCCTCAAAGACTGTCAGGAGAAAGGAGATATATTTGCTGCCGCTCCTTCACTAATATTAACTTCCTCTCACTTCTGTTATATTGTTATTTTCAGTGTTTTGCACTCTTCCATTGTACATTGTATATCCTTCATCCTGTCTTCCTGTGCTGTCCTCCCGTACTCTATTCTCTTATCCATCCTGCTATTCTCCTCTCATCTCCTGTCTGGTGTGTGTGTGTGTGTGTGTGTGTGTGTGTGTGTGTGTGTGTGTGTGTGTGTGTGTGTGCGTGCGTGTGTGCGTGCGTGCGTGCGTGTGCGCGTGTGCGCGTCATTTAAGTCATTTTAAAGAATTTCGTAAAAGTTAATAGTACAGTAAGTCATATGAAAGTCTTTAAACAAAAGGTATAGTTTTGATCACATACAGTATGTCGTGAAAATTGACTGTATAGGGGGCCTATATTGCATAGACTAAATCATATTATTTTACAATGAAAATAGGCAAACAATATGCCATGAAAATGTCATATTAATTAGTTATGCATGAGTTATGCATCAACAACATGTAATTAAAAAGTTACAGTTCAGAACAAGAGACAATCTTGCGATAGGATCACACCAGTGATAGTTCTCGCTAAAGTAGGTGTTTCCAGGATCGGATCACATTTTGCCATGAAAACACAAACACAGACTCACAAGTTGAATACAACCTGCCTCAGTCTTATATTTGGTTCAAATGGAAATTCCCAAACTACAGTAATGTTAACTAATGCTTGTGTAATCCAGGAAGTATAACCTTTTTAATTCAAACATAATGGCACTCAAAACCCTTTGCTTCTTTAACCTGTGTTCTTCCTTCCTCTCCCTCACCCCAGGACCCCCCAGCACAAGCCCCGCCCCCCCTCCAGCCTCTGCTCCACCCCCTCCAAGAAGCAGCCGTCCACCTGCAGCTATGACGAGCAGCTGCGCATCGCCATGGAGATCTCAGCTCGGGAACAGGACGAGGCGGAAAATCGGCGGCGACAAGAAGAGACGGAGCTACGGCACATCATCGAGCTGTCACTCATGGAGAAATGAGATCTGAGTGGCCCAGCAGGGGTCTGAGGGGAGGGGTCTGGACCAAGGACTCATGGGAGAGAAGGGCAGTGCAGGCTACTTAAACTTAAAGGGAAAATAATCCACCTTTTATGTCAATTGGAGCAATACATTCCTGAGTGTGTGCTATATTGACAGACGAAGTTAACTTCTCCTGCTTGTGGAGCCGTGTTTGCAGTGCCTAAATGTACCAGGATGCATTGCACTGATGCCCTGGGCCATATGTTTTGTGCTGCTAATGCCGTTTAGTCTGGCTCAAATAACGACGGCTAAACATCCAAATCAATACTGTAAATGTATCCTCATCCATTATATCTTCTCCACACATTTTCGGATGCCATGTTTGCTGTCAATAAAGTAAAATATTGTTTAATTCAAGCAAAGACAACAAGGAAATTCTATTTCTGAATGACATTTAAAACAACCCCGAGGCTAGCCAGAGAATTACACACTGTACCAGCCTGTAGTTCTTCCACTGAGTCACTTTAAATTATGCCAGTGAATGCAGGAAGAACATGTATTTTTAGCTCCAATTTCTCTATCAATATAGCACGCACTAATTGCTTCAATTGGCCACATTTACCATCAAAACCGATTTGGACATTCCCATAAAAGTTGGCAAATGTAACGGGAAGTAGGCTACAGTAAACAAAATAATCTCTGTGGTTTTCAGATCACGAAATAGCCTCCTCTTTATTCTCCCATTGCCTTCGCCCGACCTTTCCCATGATGCCACGCGGTGATGCGCCTCAGACAGCCAGAGAGGGACTTCAGTTTCCTCTTTCTGGTGCCACACGGTACTTTTTGTGACAAGTTTACAACCATCCAATACAACAAGTTCAGTGGAATGCCTTCTTGGGTGACTGATGTCTGTGTGTGTGTGTGTGTGGTGTGTGTGTGTGTGTGTGTGTGTGTGTGTGTGTGTGTGTGTGTGTGTGTGTGTGTGTGTGTGTGTGTGTGTGTGTGTGTGTGTGTGTGTGTGTGTGTGTGTGTGTGTGTGTGTGTGTGTGTGTGTGTGTGTGTGTGTGTGTGTGTGTGTGCATATGTGTGTGTGTTTCCAAACCAGCTCTCCGCACAGGGGTCAACAGATCACCTTCAATACTGAACATGTATATTGTAAAGCCAACTCTCTGCTCCGGCACTAACACACACTCTGTTGAGTTGAGTGACAAACCATTTGACTTCCTCAGTTTTGAGGGAAAATGTTTCAAAAAACTGATTGGTATGTTTCTTGTTTTTCCTCACAAAATCCAGATGTACTGTACTAAGCTTGTTGGCGGATCACATATTGACTGTTAATGGATGTAGATGACGAGTTTGAGCACAAGCTAAGCTTTAGTTTTAGCCTGACGTTAGACAGCAGGAGCACAGATATGAGACAGCCAGATAAACACTTTGTGTACTAACTAACATGTATGTGACGGTGAATGAGTTGTGGCCGGCCGTTGTGTAACACACACAATAAAGGGACCTGATAGCGGTTTTCAATCGGATGGTGGAATAGAAATGTTACAGAAAGAGGTTTTCTGTATCTTTGCATCCTCTCACCTTACATGAGCGGATCTTTTCTGTATTTCTGTGTAGTCATGGTCGATGTTTGTACAATATTTCAGCATGGTCTGCACCTGTGTGAGGTTCATTTTGTCTAGCCTGGAGACCTGCAATGGTTAATCAAGCTTTGGCAGGGAACATGTGACCAAAAGAATCACTTTAAAATCTATTGACAGCAATTACCCAAATAGAAAGTTGTTTCCATAAATACAACATGCTAAAGACAAAAGCAAATGTAAAATTGCACATTGAGCAAATGTGAACCTTTCAGTTCCTGGATTTGGAAAGATTGTTCAACATTGCTCTCATAATTGTAAGTAACTTCATGTTGCAGGGTTCAAGGCTAGCCCAACACTGATGAACATGTTTTGTTGCAAGGGACAAGGACGGCTTGTTTATTCCATCTTTTGAAAGAAATGTAACACTCCTATATCAGCACAAACTGAGGATGACCCCCTCTGCCTCCTATCTAATTCCCATTCAGCTTGCCTGGTTGATACAAAAAAGGAAATGTTAATTTTTTTACTTTTAAAGAAATGTTGCAGAAATGTTTTCATGGTGTATGAAGTGAGATCAGATAATGATTCAAATAAAGAAACATCTTTTGGAACAGCATCGCATGAGTGGGTTATTTTTTAATTTATTTTTAAATTACAGCTTCCAATCCCCTGACCCCAAACTAAGACTTCGCTGCAGATTTTCACTGTAAATTAGTTTTACGGTCCCTTTGAGTGAAGGACGGTGACAAAGCCAATTAATTTCTCACGAGATAGGGAACACTGCGGCACCGGAGAGTCTTGATCTGTTTTTAGTAGCTTCCACCTCCATCATCCTCCCTGTGACACGGAGTCCCAGCACTCAGCCGGATCCAAGGGGGGGGGGGGGGGAGGAGGACTTTCAGACTCTGAACCCTCTAAGAAACACCGCCCGGAGCGCAGAGGCTGCTTTCTGCACTTTGGGGGGTGGGATGGAGGGAATTGGATAAAGCAAATGAAATAATGTTTTTAAATGAATCAGCAGTATTCAGCTGCAACTTCTCCACCGCCCTGACTCAGCTCCACATTGTGAATACAATTAGGAAGGTGGGAGCAATGGGCTGCAAGATGTGTGAAGGGAATTTGTAAAGAGTCAGACAAAACAAGGTGTGTCAGTGTCCAATACTTATGGATGCTATATTCTCACTTTAACATCCTGCTACTTACATTTTATTCCCCAGTATTTCAACTACGGCCCTTCTGACATCAATTTAGGACACACACCATTTATATCAAAATCAGCTTTTCAATTAATCTGCTCTGTTTACTAAAGTTATTTTGTGAGATTAAGTGGTTTTTGTTTTCCTCTTTTTCTGGCAATATTTTCACATTCAAATCCAGAACGTGAAGTCTTTTAATCACCTGCTTTTTTTTAAAGTCAGATCAAGTGTGTGTGTGTGTGTGTGTGTGTGTGTGTCTTAGCAGGGGCCCCGGTGGCCTACATCTCAGTATTTAATTACCCACATGAAACAGTAGGTAAAATGTCAGCCAGAAATAAGCTGTGCTGAGCTCCCATGGAGATCACATCCCCTAGGAGACGGGATTGACTCAAATAAACGTGCAGCTAAAAACACGATAGGTAGAACATTATTATATTAATTATTGTGTTATCCTGTTCTGAAGTCTTTACACTGGCTTCCTGTGTGTCAAAGAATATATTTCAAAAATACTGCTGCTGGTTTATAAAGCTTTGAATGGTTTAGGCCCAAAATACATTTCTGACCTCCTGCTAAATGATGAACCATCCAGATCTCTCAGGTCTTCAGGGACTGGTCAGCTTTCTGTCCCCAGAGTCAGAACTAAACACGGAGAAGCAGCGTTCAGTTATTATGCTCCAAATATCTGGAACAAACTCCCAGAAAACTGCAGGTCCGCTGCAACTCTGACTTTTAAATCCAGACTAAAGACTTTTCTTTTTGCCGCTGCTTTTAATTGAACTATTCACATCTTAAACTGCACTGTAACTTTTATCCATGTATTTTTTCTTTTAATGTTTCTTTTATTATCTTTTCTTTTTAATGACTGATTTTAAATGCCATTTTCTTAATGTCTTTCGTTTATTTTATTTTTTGTAAAGCACTTTGAATTGCCTTGTGTTGAAAGGTGCTATATCAATAAACTTGCCTTGCCTTAATTTTCAGATATTAAAAGGTGGTAACATTTAACACCATATATTACCCGTTTTCACGCCTCCTCTAGAGCTGCTACGCAGGTTTAGTTCTCAGCCTGGCCAGCAGGAGGCAGTAATGTCCAGGATAATGTGGGTCAAATGTAATCATCTGGAGCTAATAGTCACCTTCTGTCTTCTTTATATAAATGTGTGTGTATGTGTGTGTGAGAGATGAAGAACACATGTACAAAAAAAGGTCAAAACAAACTCAAAATATTTATTTCCTGCTAAATAATTCAATAAAAAAAACAAGATATCAGCTTTGTCCTGGTTCAATGAAAAATCTGAATAAAGACACGTCCGTCCACTATGAAAATAAAAACAAAGTCGATTGAGATCAGTGCAAAAAGAATCCTCCCGGGGGTAAGGAAGAGATTTCAAATAAAAATAAAATCATTAAAACAGTAAAGTGCATGTTTGGAGAAAACAAAAAAAAGCCCTCTTATAGTTTTATAAACTCTGAACAGGCAGCGAGGGTTAAACACTGAAAACTAACACTTCTTAAAAAATAGGACGTTAGACATAAAAGGAGTTTGGACATTCATATTTCATTACTGTACATTAAAACCTGAAGTCCAGTTAAAACATCACATCCAGTGGTTTACATGCAAACATATGCTCGTCATTCGGTTCCTAAAACATACATCGGAGGATACACAGGGTCTCCAGTTAATCTGCTACACATTCATACTCATCATGCAGCCTTTCTCATCCAGTCCATTGCACTGAGGTCACATGGTATTGTATAGCACAGTGATGGCTCGATGCTTTTTCTCAGCGGAGCCTTTGCGACGTCTCGAGGAGTGTCCCCTCCCCTGCTGGCGGTTCGGAGCGACCGTCCCGTCCGGCTCCTCCCTCTCCTCCGTGTCCTCCTTTGGACATCTCTGCGGCGTGGAGGGGAAGCAGAGGGATGGCGAGGAGCACGACTCGTCCCCGCTGTGGGACAAACCCGTCTTTTTAAAACCGTTCAACACTTTCTGCTTCTTCCAGGAGTCGTCGGGTTGAGATGTAGACATGAAGAAAGGGTCCTGGGAGTGGGCTGATATGGACCTGGAGTGTGGCCTGAGGTCAAGGTCGCTGAGGTCATTGGTCGACAGCTCCAGACAGTCTAGTTTAGCTAAAGACGCCGACCTCTTCATGAGGGAGGGGGGGGTGAGGCCCGCCTGGCGGATACGAGCCTCCAGCTCCATGGCCCTGTGCCACAACATGGGCTCCAGGAAGCTCTTCCCCTCTTGTTTCTCTCGGAGGCCCCTCCCCCTTTTAGAAAGTCCCGGCTCTGTCTCCATGATGTCTCTCTTCTCCTGGGGCTGCTCCACTTCCTGCTCCTGGCTGTGTGGGGTCTCCAGGCCGTCGTGGAGGAACGCCTGCAGCTCCCGGAGGGTCTGCTGGATCCTCTCCAGCTCCTGGCTGCCTCGAGCCAGCCTGCTCTCGGCGTCGCAGTCGGGGCCGCACCCTCCCCTCCCACTGGAACCGGACCCCAGAGTCTCGTCTACGTCCGACTCGTGCACCGTCACCCCGTCCACAGTCATCTGGTCTGAGCAGGCCTGAGGCTGCTGGCTTTGGCTGTGAAGTCTTTGGGGCAGAGCTGAGGTCTCCAGAGATGATTGACATGTGGGGGGGGATGATGTGAGCATTTGGCTGTCTATGGATGTGAGCACGGTGATGGGTGTAGCACCAGAAACATGTCTGATATAAGGAGGTGAAAGGTCGTCTGAGGAGTTGAGCTCTGTGTCCGACCCTTCTCCGTCTTTGGGCTTTTCTCCCTGAGTTTGTTCTGTGAGGTCCTGAGGGAGGCGGGGTGGAGTGTGTTCGGTGCTTAGGGGACACGCTGACAGTCTGACAGGGGGGTGCTCGGCGCTGGGGGAGTGAAGGGGAGATCGCTGAGTTGCCGTCACCTCCATCTCCTGCCTCAGCTTCTGCTCCAGCTGCTTGGTGGCCCGCCGCACCGAGCCCGCCGGCCAATCACACGGCAGCATGGAGGGAGACTGCGGGTGAGAGGGGGGAGTCAGAGAGCCTTGGGTGAGTTCAGACAAAGTCTCCGCCTCTATCTGATGCTGAGGGCTGTGGGAGGAGGGAGGGAGCGACGAATGAGAAGAGGAGGAGCAAGAGGAAGAGGGGGTCGGAAGGGAAGCTGAAGGATGGCTTATGGCTTCTATCCCTGTGACAATATGGCGGACTGACACTCCGTTGTCATGGTGAGGGGGATGAGCTGGGTCAGGGCTCTCTTCAGACTGTGGAGATGCCTGAGGAGAAAAAGGACAAATGTAGATCATATTAGTCAACGTGTTTCTATATTAAATGCACGAGTGTGACATTTGTTATAAATTATTGTACAGCCTTTTAAACTATACTTAAGCACCTTTTTTGTATTAAATCATCAGGACTATCCTCTCCATAGCCAGTAGGTGTCGCTATGATAAATGCAGATATGGTGTCAAGGCCGTGTTATTCCCTTAGGTAATTTACCACCGTGCAGTCCTTCCACACAGATTCTACAGTCAGATTCTAGTGTTAGTTTAGAGCTACACTCACACACAGCCCGGCTACTGCTGCTGACACAGACTGGGGGGTTATCACTCTCGAGGGGACAGGCAACAGTCAAGTTCTGACAAAATACTGCAGTGTGGACCTGTCCATCAAAGTTAATGCTACCTTTTTCAAAGTGCACAGCTCTCTTTTTAAAAATTCTGAATAACTGCACATTTTGTATTGAATTGTCATATTTAGATTTGACTTAGTTACATTTCTTCTTATTTTTTTAAAGTTTTTTTTCAACATTTTCATAACATTTCTATTTTATTATTTTTTTACAACTTCATTCCTCTTGTGTTTATGTAATGTATGCACCAGATTACACCAAAGCAAATGCATTGTATGTGTAAACCTACAAAGCAATAAACCTAAATAAAACTTTTATTGCGGTGCATGACGGGAGCCCTTTTGAATTGAATTTGCAGTTGGAAGTAGGAATACAGAATGTGATGCTGCTGAAACAGCTGTACGGCATCTTTTGCATACAGGTCAACTGTAACTGGCAGACGGATGCTGTTTGATAAACCTACTGTTAGTCAGATGCAAGAAGCTCATACTGTAGCCTGAAGTTACATCCAAAACATTAACAGAGCGATGAATCTGAATAAAACCGTACCTGACTAGTCCCGTATCCCTGCTCCTCTTCCTCCTCCTTCGCCTCAGTCTCTCCGTCTTCTTCCAGTGACGGGGGTGTCCTTAGTTGTGCCTGCTCGGAAAGTGTCCTGGATCTGCCATCTTGGGCCAGGCCCAGGAACTTCTCCCTGGCGCTGAAGAAGTCGATGCTGTCTGCGCTGTGATTGGACGACCCGTCGGCCTCGTCGCGGCCGTCCGAGGCGCTGCCTATCTGCAACTCGCTGGGGTTGTTGTTGTCATCGCTGGCAGCCAATGGGAGGCGGTGTGTGAGGTTAGCAGGGCTGAGGGGGCTGTGTTTGTCGCTGGTTAAATCTGAGGAGTCTATTGTGTCTGAGTCAGCTGATCCCAGAGTGAGAGGAGAGAATTCCTCTGAGCTGCTGCGCTCCGGCAGACTCAGGGTCAGATCCCCCGCTTTCTGTGTTCTGGGCACAGAAATGGACAGATGAGTGGGAGGAGCCCGCTGGAGTTCAGGTGTGGGAGGTACAATGTGGAGCGATGGGGGGGGGTGGGGCAGAGCGGCGGGCACAGTGACCGCCACGCTCGCTGAGTTGGCCAGTCTTTCCTCCGGGACCACGACGGCTGCTCGGGGTCTGGGGAGGGGGAGCAGGAGGGAGTTTTCGCAATCCGATCCCTCGTCCTCCTGACCCGGCGACTCACACACACCGTTGGAGTCGGAGTGTGAGTCAGAGGTGTGTGTGGTGTTGGATTTGGCAGAGTCTTCGGATTCGGCACCGAGCGCCTGCAGCACGGCCGCGCCCAGGAAGTGATGCAAGGAGGGGGAGGAAGTGTTGTTGTTGTGAGAGTCAGAGCGGCCCAGAGACGAAGGCTTACACATCGGCTCGGGGCGTTCTGATAGGTCACTTTCAGAGTGGGAGCGCCATAGCTTATTATGCCTTTGCTTGCTGTGGAAACAAAGAAAATGATGTGTTGTTAGCACCATAACGCTCTCTTTTTCACACACTTCTGTATATATGTAAATGCAGCTACTCAATGTTTTTAAATTGTATTCATACTGCTGATTTATTCTCTTCTTATCTTTGTGTGAACTCTTGAATTTGCTGCCATCACACCTGCATGTTCCTACAGTGATTCATGAAGGCTTATCTTATCTAAAAGGATGTGCATATTGAGAACACACCTGGCCAACAGAATTCCCTGATACTCCTCCAGCTGTTTCATGAAGGAAGGGTTGGGTTTGGTGACGGCCCGTTTCTCTTTCACAAACTCGAAGGCGGTGTCCAGATCCCAGCCGTACTCCTTCATGGCGTAGGCGATCACTGTGGAGGCGGAGCGACTCACACCCATCTTACAGTGAACCAGACACTTAGCCCCAGCTTTCCTGAAGGGGAAAGAGAGAAATTGTGTTGGATTATAAGTGAAAGAAACCAAGGAGAATGTAACACGTTTGTGTCCGTCTAAGCCTACTTTGCTTTGGCGATGAACTTGTAGGTCTCGTTCCAGTACTCCAGCAGATTGGTGGCCTCTTCGTCGTACACTCTGATGTTATGGTACTCAAACACCCCGGGGAAGAAGTTGTCTATTTCCCTGGTCACGTTCAGGATGTAGAGCACGCTGCCAAACAGACAGGAAGAGGACGGTTGACAAGCTGACCTTTTACTGTGAAACACTCATATTAATAATTGGCTTAAACCCCACAGGGCAGACATTGTTGCAAACAAGAAGCTTGAAAGAATGGAAACAAATATCAGCGGATGGTGCTTTTAATAAGGGGCCTTTAGTTAAGTGTTGTTTTAACTGTATGTAAGGTACGTTTTTGTACATAGAACAACACAAAAGGCAATAAAAAGTGCTTAACATAAGCTTATAAAACAAGACAAGATATAAAAGTGGTGCAGAAGTATAAGAATGTAACATCCTCACGGAAATCTGTGACAGACAGATTCTTTGCCTCGATGTTAAAAGAAGAAAGGGTTTGGTCGATTTCTGACTGATGTCTTACCCGCTGTTCTGCAGCTCCTCCAGGTTAGAGGCATTCCACTCAGAGCCCTGCAGACATCACAAGCCACGTTAATATCAAAGTCTTAAACAATATATTCAACACACAACAAGAATCAAGAATGAGTGAGAATCTTAAAGTTATTGCAAAGAATTGGAAAATGTTGAGCACGCTTTCATTACATTGTTCATTTAAACACTTCAACACAACTTGTACTAAGACTAAATGAAATGGCTTATATGTTCTTACCAGATAGACATGTTCAAAGATTTCAGTGGGGCTGTCCATCTGTCCCAGGATGAGGATCATCTCGTTGTCTATGTACTCCTTAAACTCCCTCAGGTTACACACCATCAGCATCTCCAGCTCTGTTCGGATCTGGTACCATGGGGAAAAGTGACACTTGGTTAAGTAAAGCTACATTTTGAAACCAAGATGTGTGCCTGAAGATATCCCCACATCCTAGGGCTGCTCGATTATGGCAAAAATCATAATCTCGATTATTTGGGTCAATAATTGTAATTGCGATTATTAAATGTGATTATTCATTGACTTTGAAAACATCCATTTATTGGAGAAAAAAAATGTGAACAGTATGTTTTTAACAGTTGATTACCCTGAACTTTAAGTATAATTCAACTGAAAAAAAAAAAAAATAATTTAAATTAAAAAAAAAAAAAGTAATAATAATAAAATAATTATCGTTTTATTTCGATTACGTTGTTTTCGTAATCAATGCAAGCCATAATCGTAATCGCGATTAAAATACAATTAATTGAGCAGCCCTACCACATCCTTCAATGTGCCTCTTACCTCCTTACAGGTGACGTTCTCCAGGTCTTTCTGCATCATGATCTCTCGGAGGCGGGTCTTGATCAGCCTCTCTGTGCGCTCCCTCTCTGTGGGCCTACACACCACACACAACACACACACACACACACACACACACACACACACACACACACACACACACACACACACACACACACACACACACACACACACACACACACACACACACACACACACACACACACACACACACACACACACACACACACACACACACACACACACACACACACACACACACACACACACACACACACACACACACACACACACACACACACACACACACACACACACACACACACACACACACACACACACACACACACACACACACACACACACACACACACACACACACACACACACACACACACCACACACACACACACACACACACACACACACACACACACACACACACACACACACACACACACACACACACACACACACACACACACACACACACACACACACACACACACACACACACACACACACACACACACACACACACACACACACACACCTTGATTAAAACACACTTTCTCCCTTCACAGTCACAGTAATGACACGTTCCTTCTGTTCACTGATTCATTTTCACTGTACTCTCAAAGAGAGGACTTGTCCGGCTAGAGAATTGCCACTTTGTCAGGTTCTCAGAAACTGGAGAGAAAATGTGAGAGCGTGGCCCATCGGCGATCCACAACAAAGACCCTTTGTTTTACGGGCGCCTGTTGTTGTGCCTGGCTCTGTTTCTATCAACTCTGCAGGGGGACGCATTTAGCCTTAGGACATCACACTGATGATACCAAGAAGTGGCCTAATTACCTCTCTGGAGGGAAGAGCGAGAGTTTCCCTCCTGGATTCTCTTACTTATGTTGTCTAATGTTCTCCTTCTATAACAGTACACAAGAGGGTTGGTTTATAAATCACAAAGAGGGGCATTGTGATTGCCACAGGTGGGAAAGTGCAGACTTAAAAGCATCGCTCTATGCTAAGAATTGGAAACAGTCATCTTGTTTACCTCAAGCTGTCTGACCCGGAGAGAATGACTTCACAGGGGAAAAAGAGAACCTAGTTACTCATGCCGACAAATATGGGTTAGTTACCGATAGTCAATAACACTTTAAGCACATAACATGCCTAGAGGCAGATTAATGGAGCAATAGCTGGTCAGGGAAAGACCCAGAATAAAAAATACACATGTGACGGCACTAATGACTGAAGAATGGGAAATTCTTTGTCACTTCATGGAACAAGTGATAGAGGAGCAGCCTACGGGAAGTTACAGTAATCACCATAAATCAAACGCACACAAAAACAAGATTAAAAAACTCTTCCTGCTGCGGGAAATTTCCATCTAATGGTTACACAGAAACATTTACTTCCATGTCAACAACCACTTGGCAGGTCATGTGGCTCTGGCACGCAACAAACAGGGACGTCATGTGTGTATTGGAGCTCGTAAAATGTGGGTGGCAATCTTCATGATGATAAGTGCAAACACACCTCGAGTGAGAAGTATTTTGGTTTCCAGGCATACGCTAAATATGGGCGTTTCTAGTTAGTCAGGTTTTGAAGTGGAACTTGGCTTTTCCTTTCAACCCAGGGGCATCAGGTGCATGCACCAGCAACATATCTTCTTTAACCCCCCCCCCCCCCCAACACCCCATCCTCTCCCACCTGCTTCTGTCCCTCTGTCTGTCTACCTATTTGTCTGGTTTTCATTTTTCCGAACGTAAATCAAGCCTCAGCTATTTTTGACACTGGGAGATCTCTAAAGTGTGTGTTTGAAAGAGAGGCGCTCTAAATAGATAGCGAGGCACGTGGCTAACTAGCAGTGGGGAATTTCCCTATTATTAGTAAAGACATAACTCCAGCAGCCTGTGTCATTCCCGTTACTTTCTAATCTCCCTTGAGGATCTCTTGATAACTGTCACAGAGATGAAATGTCTGTGTGTGTGTGTGTGTGTGTGACAGTGTGTGTGACAGTGTGTGTGTCTGTGTGTGTGTGTGTGTGTGACAGTGTGTGTGTGTGTGTCTGCACACAGTTCAGGATTTGCTCGCGTGCCTACATGTGTTTTTGTCGCGGTGCGTTTTGCTTTCTTGTTATCCTGAGAGGTTGCAGACTGAATGTGACCCCCGCTCCAGAGTCCAAGGCTCTGAAGGCTGAGCGTCTGCAGTAAAACTTTAGCTGTCGGCTCATAAAAAGAGATTATGCAACGCGGTCTAGGTCAAACAAAGTAGTGGCTATACCTATTTCCTCTTACTTAAGGTTATCTTTACTTTTGTTTCCATTAGCAAAATACTAATTATTATTCATAAAAAAGGGAAACTATTTGTAAAAAGCATCTATTAAAACAGAATTAATGCCATAACATTTGTTATTTCTTCAGTAAGATTATGCATCACTACTTTTGGAATGAAATGCAGTGGGTTGTGGGTAACCAGTCAACACATCCTTTGATTTGATCCCTTTCAGAGCAGTGTACTCACGCCATAGGAATGTTGCACTAAACATCAATGGGTGCTGTGCTACTCTATGGCATACAACATGAAGACTTGAGAAAATGACTCCTGGATCGCCTCACAAACCAAACAGATATTCCATCATAAGTGTGAACTGTGTGTGTGGGTGCATTCATGGCGTCTACTCACAGGTCTGTGAAGAGAACGGGCGAATTGGCACGGTGCGACTCGACGTCCTGCATGGCGTTCCACTCGTTGATGCAGGTCTGGTTGGAGGACACCCGGCTCTGGTAGTAGCTGACCCAGGTCAGGAACAGGCTGCCTGGGTAGTGGTTGTGGCAGCGGGCCACATCGCTCGCTTTGTGGAGCGACTGGAGGGCGGACCTGAGGCACAGCGAGGAGGAAGACGATAAATCAATCAAATTTGATATATATTTCCCATTATCACAACGTTTACATTCGTCTCAGGGGGCTTTACAGTGTACACAGCATACAACAACCTCTGTCCCTCTGACCCTAGCAGCTTACAAAAAAGAATGTGTCAGAGAAACCTCGGAGGAAAGACCCCTCTCCCAGGACGCAGAGATAGTACGATTACAACATAGATAATCCAAATGACATGTGAAAAGGTGGCTCCAGCAAGAAGTCAAAATGTCCCGGTGCTGCCAAGAAATGATGACCCAAAGAGAGGATTCACACTTGAGGTTATATCTTAATCTTGATAATAAGATGACACTACTACTGGGTGTAATTTGGCATTGCTACGTTCTTAAAATGATTGACAGGGTGAAATAACTCAAAGGGGGATATAACAAAGCAGTAAACAAACAAAGGAATGAACATGAGGAAAGGCAAAAAGGAAGAGAGGACTTATGTGAGAAGGAGAGAAATCGATAGAAATACAAGCGGGGAATGACTAATGATGACACGAGAGAAATATAACAAGGGAAGTTGGTTGAATTAGTGAGAAAAACGTCAGAAAAGAACCGAAAGAGTACAGCGAGAAGAGACGCATTAAAGAGATGTACCTGCAGATAGAGGAATGTATCAGGAGATATTCCAGAGAGAAGGAGGTCAGGCGTAGAGCAAAGAACAAAGAGAAAGAAAATGAGGAAAAATAAGACGGAAATAAGGAAGGCAGCACTGGCATGTGAGACAGAGAGATAATGAAGAGACTGGAAGGCAGAGGGTTAATGAGAAAACAAAGGGAAAGGAGAGGACAGATAAGAAACATTGACAAAGATAAAAGGCTGGAGGTCAAGGTCAAAGAGGGGACAATGGATACAGACGTTTTCAGCCGGTAACAAAAACATTTACTGACTTCAAATGGCAGTAATAAACGGGAAGTTATGCTTACCACATGGCCTGGACAGAAACTGGCTTGAAAACATGAACCCTGTTCACCGACGACACGCTGAAACCACTGTGATCAAAAACAAGACTGAGATTAGAAAAGGGATACACGGTAATTCTGTTATAGCCATCTTACAACACCAACAAATCCTCTTACGATAAAATGACTAAATAAGAGTCATCAGAGCTTCAGTCAGTTGCCCCGCGGGGGGGGCAGTTAGAGGAAGCAGGGAGGATGGTGTCTTACCCGTCTCCGTCCAAGTGGATCAGAGTGTCGCTCCACAGAGGTAGAACCAGACCCACCGTGCAGCAGCTGGAGGGAGAGCAACACGTCAGACAACAGAACAAGAGACACTGGGTTCACTTAATACAGGGATGTGTGAAGGACAGAATTAAAAAGGAAGTCTATTGTTAAGTACTGCCGTGTACAATGCACTTATGTGATGTTTTGTTGGAGTGACAGGCCAATCAAAGAATATTCTGCTCAGCACTTTTTTTATTTGTCACTTAAAGATTTGAACATGTAGAAATGGGAATTTTCAAGGATTGTCAGTTGTAGATAGCTACAGTCAGGGGCGGACAGGGACTACAAATCAGCCCGGGCATCTCGACCGGCCCACTTCGGTAAATTGTCAACGGAAGGGGGGGTGCTAGTGACTTATCCGACCGGCCCACTTTGGTACCGCTAGTATATAGTCAACGGGGGGGCGGGGGTGCTAGTGACTCATCCGACCGGCCCACTTCAGTACCGGCCCATCGGGATTCGTCCCGAACATCCCGATGGCCAGTCCGCCATTGGCTACAGTGTAGTTATGACAATGAAAATCTTAGGCTCTTCCAACAGTGCAACGCAATAAATAAAATAGAATAGAATAGAAATAGTGCAGAATAGTCTACAGTATATACAAGTAATTGAAATATTGATATATATATAAGTTGTAAACAGTGGGATTTGTATAAGGTTGTCTTGTGTAAAATAAATGTACATATTATAAAAATCGAATAGATAATAAAGTCGTCAGGAGTTAGCATGTGTATATCTTTCACTATAAAAACACATTTTTGAGTTGCACTGACCTATCAGAGGAGAGAAAGTCCATGCCGAGCACGATGCTCTCCTCCGTGTCCTGTTTGCCATTGGTGGAGACCACCACCATGTAGCGGGTCACCTGAGGGAAGGCGCTCTCCAGACGCACAGCCTGAGAGAAAAGATGGAGAGGAGACACGAGGGAAGAGGGGAAAGGAGATATTAGCACAAAAAAAAGATGTTGCACAATGGCAGGGTGTGCATGATTTGAATGCACACAACAGTTTGCTTTATGAAAGAGTATCTTTGTCAGTGCAGACAGACCCGTTTTTTTTCTACCAACAAGTATCAGTTCTTTATTTCTGCTAACAAAGAAGTGAAACCGCCTCTAGACCTGGAGGATAATGTCTCTGAACACAAAGCCACCTTGCTTGTGTGTATATGTGTGTGTATACGTGTGTGTATGCGTGTGTGTATGCGTGTGTGACCTACCAGTCGGATGTTGTCCTCCGGCCGCAGTACAGTGAACATGGTCTGAAGATGTTTCTGGAGGTCACCTGGATAGAAAGGATTTCAACGTCCTCATCAAGTTTCAGTTCCTTTAGGACAACACTTTCATTCTTAGCCTTTAGACGTTGATACAACACCTAGGATAATGTTTCATTTGGCCTGTGGCAAGTTTCCAGTGCCTCTTTTGGCCTACATTCAACCTGATCTCTGAATACTTCTGAGGAAGTTATTTCTGAAACTATTTATAGTTTTCATCAGCCTTACTCCAACTAACAATGGCTGTCTTATCGAGCAGCATGTTCTACTTTCCTCTATTTTTTTACTTTGTATTCCTTGTCCAAAAGTGTAAGGATGTTTGAAATGTGGGATCTTTGGCAAAACACTCCTCAAACAATCTGGTCCCCACATGGCACGCAGCAATGAACTGGCTGCACTGAAGTTGTTTTGTGAAACAGCTTCAGTGAAGATATCAGCAGCTGTTCTCGATGATGCTGCGGAGGAATGTCGATTTGAAAACACGCTTGGATTCAATCTCAAGTTATTCCGTGGAGGAGTTCATATCAGAGGCTGGGAGCTATCGCTGGGAGAAGCAGCAGCTGTGGGGAGTGCAAGTCTTTACCTGTGTGCTTGTTCCTGCGCTGGCTGATGTGCGGTGCAGAGTTAGGCGTGGGGCTGTTTCCCCGGGGAAGGAACAGGGCGGCACCTTTAACAGTGAGAAAATTCTCACTGATGCTGCGAGGGAAGAGAGAAGAAAAGAAAACATGAATAAAACCTCAGACTCAGACTCCTGCCGAGTTGTCTCATCATATTTGGTGTGACTTTTGGAATTGGTTTTCTCTTTCTTGCACTTGTTGAACCAAACGTTATAATAAGCACAAGATGGTGGACAGGGAACAGAAGGGTGTTGTCATGGGCTTATGTCAGTGTCACAATGATCCACTCATCTGGCCTCTGCGAACAGGCTTCCAGAATCAGCACAGGACAGACCGACGCAAGTAAAAACAAGATCCAAGCCCCTATTTGAACTCGGAACACAATGTTCTCCTCCACACAGCTGGATTACACACACAGGCTTATTCACACAAGCAGCTGCCAGTAGGGAGGGAAGGGGGGGGGGGGGGGGGGGGGATTGAGAGGAGACCCGGGGTCCGAGAGGGAAGATGAATCCCCTCCTCCACAACATTTGAGGGGAGATAAGAGCGCGTCGTATAAAAAGGGGTCCTGTTCCTCTGTAGGAAGAGCTAATCTAATTAACTGTGACTGAGGTCACTGCGCTGAGGAAGAGGACGCATAATTAACTGAGGTCAGTGTTACAACTGGAAACCTAAAAGAGAGTGTGTGTGTGTGTGTGTGTGTGTGTATTAGTTTAAAGTCTCCCCATGGCACACTAACCTTAGTAACACTATGGACCGATAAAACAGGTTGGAAGACGTGCTTCTGCAGCCGCTAATGACCACGTCAAATGACAGCCATGGGAGCAGTTAACCACAACTTCAACGATGCTGAGCAAGCAGTGTGCCAATTAGACCGCGTGGGCACTTAGGCAACGCTTCTCCTGTGTTTATTCAGCAGATGCAGAGAGCACCGCAAAGGCAACATTGCAACGAGGAAAAAAAAGTAGTAGAATCCATCATAATGAGGAACGAACAGATTGCGTTTGTACCATAATTAAGACCCCAAGTAAAGCTGGCAAGAACTTAGCCTATCCAGGAACATGTGCAGCCACATTCCTGACAGCGGTCTGCAGAGTTACAGATTTCTAGAGAAACCCCCAGTTTGGTTGCTTTTTTTGGCATTAAAATAGAATATTAACATCATCTGCCTGCTTGAATATGCCCTGCCATGTTTTGTTTCTGAGGTCAAATAAATAGGAGTTCATGTTTAAGCGGTCTGCAGTCGGTCAATAATAAAACATTGAACATAAAAAGGTGGATAAAAGTGTTACGCAAGGACGCTTTCAGAGAGTTAGTCGCCTGTTCTGACAAACTTCAAAGGAATGGTTTCGTAGCCGCCGGGAAAATAAACTATTCAAGGAATTGACACACACGCAAAGAATGAAGATTAATCGAAGGGATGTGATGTCGTCAGAGCCACATTTTTATATTTTCAAGTTGCACAAGCGATTGGTTGAAGTGCTCATTTGAAGGTTAACCACTGTGTTGGGTAATCTTTCATGCAGCAGGCTACACTCAATGAACCCAACGCTTTACTGCACTTCAGTTTCACGTTGTCTGCCATTTAGACTTCCTGTCGTGCTCTTTTTCTCTGTAACTTCATCTCGCCATCCTTCCAGCCGTCCAACTGTCCTTCCTGAGTTTCTCTGAGACCGTGTACAGGATGAGGAGACAAACAAAACCGCAGCTCAGTGCTGAGCTAATTTCCCATAACCCTCCCACCCTTGACACAGCTGTTTCCTCTCTCTCTCTCTCTCTCCTGTCTGTCACTTCCTCTTTTCTGTAATTCTCACAACTTTTCATTTCCGTCACTCTCTTTGAATTCCTGCTGTATCATCATCACACACAGACAGACTCATGTACTGTACTTGGCAATGACCATGTATAGCAGTGCTACTGTACAAAGTCATCTGTAATACAACACTATCCCTAAGAATTGCGCATGGAAGGGGATGCGCGTGCAAACACACACTTTTACTCGTCCACAAACACACCTTGGGAAAGTGGAATCTAAGCCCGACAGTCGGAGAGCTGGGGGGCTGTGAACGACTTTCCACTGCATTTTTCTAAAAATACTGTAGTCCTTTAAAAGTCCCAGCTATTGATAGACTGCTTTCAGAATAGCACAACTCGCTGTAGAAGCTTCTCTTTGAAAGGGCAGCCTTCTGCAGCGGTTTAACTCCAAGTCTGCATGTGCGACGATTAAAAAGGACTGCTTTAGGGCTTCGTTTTAAAAAGACAAAATATATGGCTAAGCAGAGGCAAAACAAAACCTGACATGATGTTACATCTAGCTGCTGTACATTGGCTTCATTATGATTAACCACTGCAAGTGCTATGTGCTACTGCTTTAACCTTAAATAATCCAAACCTTCTTAAGTGCTATTAGCAGAAGGGATTTGTTACCGTAATTATTGGGAAGAGACACAAATGACACACAGATACACACCACCACCCACTCATTCCATACTAAAGAACAATTTACCAATGATGGACGAAACATTTCTCAGTATTGACCATTTTAAATCATAAATTGTTTGCATTTTTTCTGTAAAAATGCCTCATATTCACTCCTAGGATTTGATGTTTATTTGATATGACAGTAAACTAAATATGTTGACTGATGAACAAATAATGCTGATCCACACACAAATACAACAGTTTAAGACTAATAGTGGACCCATTCTGCAAATCTCTGCAGTAAAACCCAGACATGATGTTAGCATTGTGCACTTAAGTAATGAAGAAGAATGTCGTCTGAAGTTATTCAAGCTGAAGCATGTGTAACACCTTTAAATCTGACTTGAGAGCAACACTTTACAAACAGAACATAAAACCTCTGGGGAAATTAAAAAGGGGCATCAAGTTCAACAAAATGTGACTTAGCAGGGTAAGTGAATTGGGAATGAGGAGTGAAGGGTGGGAGATAAAGGGAGAGGACACAGTCAGAGTATCAGAGGGTGGGTGGGTCATCTTTTGCCATTCAGCCACGCCGGGTTTTGGTCAGAAGTGAAGCTGTACAGTAGGTACTTGTTAGGGCAACAGTCCCAGACACAATCATCACTATGTAAGGACCACTAGATAACTGGGTGACCCCCACCTACTGCCAGTGCCCATATTAGTCACTCTGGGGAGGAGAGTGGGATAAATATAGGGCCAGGCTCTGTGGAGGGCCGGCCCAGCTAAGGCCTTCTGAGTTAGAGACAGATACAGCCCATGGGAAAGACAGGGAGTTAGCCTCTGTGTGTGTGTGTGTGTGTGTGTGTGTGTGTGTGTGTGTGTGTGGTGTGTGTGTGTGTGTGTGTGTGTGTGTGTGTGTGTGTGTGTTTACATGTCCATAGGGAGGCCCGGACACGGAAAAGAGTCACAAGCAGAGGATGGTGACAGATGGATGAGAAGAGAGAAGAGTGATGGGGTGTTAATTGCAACATCGTAAAGGACCTCTGTGGCAAATCATCTCGTGTTCCATCCTTATAGAGTTTGATTATGGCAATGTAATCCCACAAATTATCTCAACACATAATATACCTTGACAGCAGATAATTGGGCAAAGCATTGGACACAAGAATGGGGGCAGAAGAGGGTCAAAGCTGATAAAGAGAAATAAATACCTACCGGCCGGGTCATACCAAACAAATACTAATACTTGAATTTACTGTCCAGTAAACATATTGCCAAGGCTTGTTGTCTTATGAATGTTTGCACACGTTTCCCCTAGTCTCTTTGGTAATCCAGAGAGCAGGCCATGGTCCACGCGTCCGCCACCTCAGTGAACTAAACGTACCTGACCCCCACTCATGCAGGGCTATTCTGAGAAGGATTCAGATTTCATTTCTTGAAGTTGAAACAAACTACAGGCAGGAACACACTTCTGAAGAAGCTCAATGGAATTGCTGGTCATATGAGGACATGGAGCTCGGTTGGTAATAACAATGGCTGAATAAAGAGTTCTATTCCCATTTGTGGTAGACAAAGGGAAATAATTCGTTTCTGTATTAGTTGTGTCGCACCACTTTGTTGAATTGTCAATTATTTTTGTCAAAGTATTTATTTTTCAGTAAGTAGCAGTGTAATAAGCTGTTATATGTACCAGCTTACTGTAGGTATGCGTTTAGAATAAATAAAATAATATATCATAATGTGAAATATGTAGGAGTTGAAAATTAACTATATCGATAAACTCTGTGTATCACATTAGTTTCATGGTTTGTATTGGGACTTTGATGAATTGCATTGTACATTTAGAACAGAAACATTGAAAAGAAAGTCAATGTTAATCATCCCAATTTGAAATAACATAACAAACCCACTGTCAGACTCCTGGCAATGAAAAGGACTTCTCTGATACACTAGGCAGCTACACAGCTGGTCCGATCCTGTGGAATTTACTGTAGCTAATTGAACAAACTTAAACCAAGTTATGTAGGTTATTTGATTTGCTATGCATCACTAGCTCACACACAAACTAGGGCTGTGCAATTAAATCGTATTTTAAATCGCAATAAGATTTTGGCCTGCCACAATTACGAAAACAACATAAACGAAAAAACGATTATTTTGCTTTGCTAGGTTGTGACAGTGCACTGCAACATATTTGATCTAATTTATTTATATATGATTAGTAGCTTGTGGAAGTGCGCTCAAATATTTGTTGATCTTGTTTATTGGTATTTATTATTTAATTAAATATAAATGTATCATTTATTTTAGTATTGGTTTTTCAGTTGAATTATACATTCAGGGTAATCAAAAGTTAAAAAGATACTGTTCAAATAATTATATTTGTATTTGTTTTAAAGGTCAATAAATGGATGTTTTCAAAGTCAATGAATAATCGTATTTAATAATCATGATATCAATTATTGACCAAAAATAATCGTGATTATGATTTTTGCCATAATCGAGCAGCCCTAACACAAGTAGTATATCCAGCTGCACTTATCTGTGTTCAGCTGCTGAAGTCCCTCACACCAACAGTATCTTCAGTTTGTCACGTTTCCGTCTTATCTCTTTCTTTGGAAAACACGTACGCAACACAAAACACACAAGTGCAGCGGAAGAGAGAGGTTTACCGGTATTCCTAAAATTGGTGGGATAACAATAGTGTTTTAGATGCCATTTAGCCACAGGTAACACTTAGCTCCTTGGAAAGCCTCGAGGCTTGTAATTACTCATTGGTTAAACATACTGGCACATACAGGCATTCACACTATAAACAAACAGAGATATGTACACAAACATTAAAATGCCGCATGTACACACACTAGGAGATATAAATCAAAGGATGCTAAAATCCCTAACGTTGGGATGAGGGCCAATTTGAGCGATACAAAGGGAGGGGTGATAAGAACCATCGACAGCCATATTGCAATAAAGCCAGGAAGTCAGACGGTTCCCACATCTGTGTGCGTTTACTGGACACACACGCTTGCCACACTGTGTGTTGCGGTAACATCTTCCCATAAACTGTCCTAATGCAAACCCAAGTTTTGAAAAAAACTAAATGATTTCCTTAAACACAGGGTGCAGCCCTCATAAAGACTAAATGTTCAGTTGACTCAATAACCTCACTGCACAATCATGTGTGCAACAGCTGACAAACAATGCAATCGAGACACAGGCTGTCCTTGACTTTCCTGAAAACTGCCACAGAAGGCCAATTCTCATGCACGGCATATCCAATTACTGACTGCACGAAAAAGTTACAAAACAACAGGACAACAGAGACACTGGAAGGAAACAGATTGTGGGAAATTGGGTAATGTTGATTTCATTATCTTTTAATCCAGTTGGGGTAATTTCTACATTGATTTCTCCCCAAATGGGCTAAGCTTATCTGAGCCAGCTTCACATACAAACACTGAAGAACTGGAACAGAGTAGCCTTTGATCTGTCCTGAAGGGCAAACTTGTCTTCATCGCATTTACATAAGTCAAGTAAATCCTTTTACACCTCACAAGCAAAAGGAAGCCTCTACTCCCTTTTGCCTTGATGTCTGCAGACAATGAAGATCACAGATAAGATGCATTAAAACCAACTACTTCAGATCCAAGCAAACAATCTCTGAATTGGTATTGATAGAGCGAGAGAAGCATATATTTAGTTCAGTTGACTGATCCTTGGAACACAGGGCTACAAATAAGTACAGAGGCTTTGGGTTTAAGGGAAAATGCTGTCTGATCATTACATTACATTTAGCTGACGCTTTTATCCAAAGCGACTTACAATAAGTGCGTTCGACCAACAAAATACAAACTTGAAGAAAACAGAATCATATAAGTACATCAGGTTTCATAGAGCCAAAACATTTCAAGTGCTACTCAACTCAGCTGATCAGTGGTTAATCATTTCCAATGTAGGCTATTATTGGGTTACAATGAAATCTATTTGCTAAGAGTTATATCAAAAGGAATATTTAGCTGCCTATTTCCTGGTTGCCTAAACCAAGCGTCAAGCAAGTGGATGCAGGCAAATTCTCTAGATCTGTGTCTAAGAAAATCACTACGATGAAAGCCACCAACATCATTTTTAATGTTGGATATAAATAAAGAAACCTACTGCCATTGTCTCCTTCACAATCATTGTAAATTATTTCTCTAAATGGTGACATTTAAAACATGTCTTAATTGTAAGTTAAGCTTCCTTAACAACTATGGACATCACACCAATCACTCACAAGTTCACACAAACAAAATCCCAGCCTTGGACAAACAAAAAGGGAGGGACAGAAATGCCCAACCAAAACTCTTAATATGGTGATCAGGTGATAATGGTTTTCCATCTATTACTGTAAGTGTCTGTAGTAGTGGAACAGGTAGGATGATTCACACTTTATGTCAGCCATTCCCTGATACGTCACCAGGAAATGCGTTCAACTGATGTTGTATAATAATTACACATGCTCGATTACTCATAGTGTTACAATGTTAAACGTTTGGCACGTTTTTACTACTATTTCCAAATACTTGAAGTCCATATTAAAATATAGTATTAACAGTATCACTATCCACAGTACAAAAATCAAATACAGGCTAATTTCAGTTTAATGCCCCTTAAGTTTGAATGACACCCTGTTACTTCAAAGCACCTTTACTGTCTGTCCCTGTCATACATTTATGCATGTTTTAATGAATACAATATTCTTAAACATAGGTTTATTCCAGAGTGTCTTCCCTCCACCACCTGCTACTTATTTACACTTACAGCTGGTTGATCTGATTGTTTGACACCACTGCTTCGTCGCTGAAGTATGGCACCATTTTAGCCCCGCAGCATGAGCAGAAGCTGACCGCCGACGAGCTCTCAGATTCGGAGACCGCGCCGAGGGTCATGCCGGCGGCTGGGAGCGCTGAGGTAGGGGGTGTCAGGTGTTCTTGTCCCGGGAGAAAACTTTTACTCCTCTCCCATAGTCATGTGCTCTGCCATTTCAACACGACTAACAACTTCCTTTGGTGTAAATAGCCGTAATAGTTTAGAAAATGACGAAATATTCCGCGAAGTAGTCACTTGTGTCCAAATCTTTTTTCCGTCACAATAAATTAAGTTAAAAGTTGAAGCACGCTGTTCTGCTGCTTCCAGACAGTGGCGACAAGATGTCCCAATTAAGCGGAAGCGAGTCCTTTCATGAAGAAGTGTTCGTACCGTTTTCTGAACATTATTAATCCTCTGTACAACAGACACTATCCTCTACCAAGTACAGTACTAAGACATATGACTTCAGTCAAACTATCACCGAGGAAGTCATGGGAGGGAGGAGTTGGAGACATGTGTTTTGGGGGAAAGTGGGGAGCCAATGAGGCCAACAGGGAAGTGCGACCGCCCACAACAGCAGCCCTTCTGCATCGACACTTGCTGAAGCAGGGCACGTGTATACCATCGCATCGTGTATACACAACACTTATTATTTCCTTCAGCAGGTTATTATTCTAGTTCCTCCTGTCTGGCCGAGGGTGTGCTTATCAGAAATTGCACTGTACTGGTCCACCCTCGACGAATTACACAACACTAAAAGTAATGACCATTGGGACGTTTTAAACAGTGGAGGAGGAAGTAGCCTATTACTTTTACTTAAAGGTGGGGTAGCCAATGTAATTTATTTCAGAAACACTTTTTGTTATATTCCATGGAATGCTCTTAACATCCCGATAGCAATGAATATATTAAAGTTGGGGTAGGTCATTTTGGAGACACCAGCTCGAGTGCACTAGAATTTGAAACTACGCATCCGAAAAAAAATCGGCCCCTTCCTTCAGACTTCCTTACAGAGCCCCTCCTCCAACACACACGAACGCGCACATGACCAATGAGGGCACGAGATAAGTTTGTGCACAGAGAAGGCTGACAGGCAGGTAGGCCAACCAGTTATTTTAGCCGGGCGGCTAAAATGACTGGTCGTGCTTTTTACAGCACTACGGCTTCCACAGATGACATTTTTTAATGGATTTGTTGTCAAAGTCAAAGCACTTAAGATATTCATTGCTATTGGGATGTTGAGAGCATTCCATGGAATATAACAAAAAGTGTATCTCGAGCCGGTTTCTCAAACTTACCTACCCCACCTTTAAATACTTTGAGAATAAATACATAACAAAAATTCATCTGTGGAAGCCGTGGCGCTGTAAAAAGCACGACCAATCATTTTAGCCGGCCCGGCTAAAATAACTGGATGGCCGATAGGCTACTGCCTGTCAGCCTTCCATCTCGTGCACAAATTTATCTCGTGCCCTCATTTGTCATGTGCGCGTTTGTGTGTGTTGGAGAAGGGGTTCTGCAAGGAATTGGCAGATATTTTCCGGCTGTGTGTTTTCAAATTCTAGCGCACTCCAGCTGGTTTCTCCAAAGTTACCGACCCCACATTTAAGCAAATACTACACTGTAAAAATACTCTGTTACAAGCCAAATTCCTGCATTGGAAATGCTACATACAGTAAGTCAAAGTAACTCAATATTATCAGAAAAATGTAGTTCAAGTAATACATGTAAAAGAAGAACCCAATATTCCAAAATAATTCAAAATAACAATTTTACATTTTGTATCTAAATGTATATGCTAACTTAGTAGCTCTCAATTGGCTAGATGAATCAAATACGCTTGGCCAGGTTAATGTATAACAAAATATCATATATTATGAACTATACTTTGTAAAGTAACCACAAATATGTTAATGTCCAATAACTAATTAGGTGTCCTGGTACAACAGGGTCAATAGGGGATGTGATCATTACACTGATAAAATAGTCAATTAAACCCACATGGGGTTTTGGTTTGGCAGTGACTCACTTGTCTCCTATCCACCCTTTTCTCCAAACACACAGACCTTGTGGTTGGGTTACATAAGGAGCAAAAATACAAATAAGAAACAGGCTGAAGTCTTACAGACTGAGCTGCTGTTGAAGCAGACCTTCAGTTCGAAGGGTAAAGTACAGATAAATTGAGCTAAATCAAGAAAGTCTGGGGGAGAAACCACCTTTCATATTATCATGTTGTTTACATCAAGTATCACCTGACCTACTGCAGGCTGTGAGATTGATTCAATGTTTTTGTGTGTTTTATAGCCTAATAAACATTTTATTTCTACTGGCGGGCCGGCATGTAAGCTGACAACAATTTGAAAAACACTGTAAAACTTAAGCCCCCCTGATCATATTAACACCAGCTTGTGCCAAGAGCTGAAGAACGAATCTAAAACATCTGTGGCAAACGACCTCAACGCCGTGGAGCTGAGCTTTATAATGATGTTTATTGAATGCCTGCTTTATGATTTAGCTGTTTTTCAGAGCAGAGCCGTTATCAAAAAGGAGTTTGACTGAGAAATAGGACGCTGAGTATGCGGTTATACAACATAACTTTGGCCCTGTGTTCATAAACTTCCCTTTGGTATTCACTGAAATCTGAACATTATGCTTGTAAAACTTCAGCCTATGAACACCCCTGAGCTGCGGGATTATGGGGAAACACGAAAATCTTACACGAACCATAGTAAATGAAGGGCCTAGCTCTAGACCAGGGGTGCCCAACCAGTCGATCGCGATCGACCGGAGATTCCCAGTCGATCGCGAGATGTGTCTAAAAATAGAACAACAATATTCGGTTTTATCGTTAATGTCCTATAACATAATCTTCCTGTGCCAGAATAATGCACTTGAACGCATCAAAGCTTTGTGATTGGCCGGCGTGAGCCCATGTGTCGGGGGCATGGCTGGTGGGCAGTGCACTAGTTCGCTGACGTTGTCCGTGTCAACCCTATGGTGTCAACAGGAGTGACAGTCCGCACACACCGCAATTATGGCAGAAGCAAAAAAGCCCAAAATATATAATTTTCACTCCGAGTGGGAGGATGATTATTTTTGTATCTATTCCAATTCAAAGTCCATCTGTCTCATCTGCAATGCGAGCGTGGCTTTATCGAAGAAGGGTAATTTAGGAGCGGCATTTCAAAACAGTGCACAAACGCTACGAGACGGAATTCCCTCCTAATTCTGCCCTACGCTCCAAAAGGGGAGGGGCCTGAAAGGACAGCTAAATGCACAGCAGTCCATTTTCACCAGGCCCAACAACAAGAGCAAGGCTGCTACCAGAGCATTTTATCGTGTCAGTCACGTTCTTGCGAAACACATGAAGTCTTTCAAAGACGGCAAAGTTGTGAAAGAAACATTCCTGGAGGCTGCCGGCGCGCTTTTTGGCAAAAATAACAGTAGCATTTCAACAGGTTTTTGATATAATAAAAACTCAAGTTAGATACCGTTATTAATCAGATGTAAGTTTTAGTTTGTTTGAACTTATTCATTATAATTATTGTACAAAATGGTATAAGAATGCAAACATTAAGATCTGTTCTGTTTAAATAGATTTTAGTCTATTATCAATTCAGGTTAAGAAACTAGTGTTGCTTGCATCCTATTTTAAAGGCATTTATTTTTATACTCTAATAAAATGCAACAAAAAAAGGGTTTGATTCTATTAATTTTTTAGATAATCTTTTTTTATTGCACTTTGGCAGCAGATTCCTGTGTAGCTTCAGATCTGAGTTGTCTTATTAGTAGCCTAATTTATACTTTTGTAGCAACACTATTTTTATATAATGGCAAAGAAAGGGTTCAGAGTCTTTTCTTTTTGTCCTGTGTCATATGTGGCAGCACTGTTCAATGTTTCTTGAAAACATTACCCACTGTAGTATGTGACGTCTGAATAAACTCCAACTCTGTATCAACAACAGTTGTGTAACTTCAGTTAAATACTTGTATGTGTGTAGATTAGAAAGAGGTAAGATAAAGGATCTGCAGTATTTTATGAAGTATTAATCGTACAAAGGTCAGTTTTATACAAGTAGAAGTGTGTATTTACCTGGAAGTAGGCTGTCAGTAATGGCTACGCCTCTCTATTTGGACTGGTAGATCTCGGCAGACTGGCAACTTTAAAAGTAGCTCTTGGTTCAAAAAAGGTTGGGCACCCCTGCTCTAGACAATGAATCACATTAATAACACGTTCTAGCTAGTTTGTCTTTATTTGAATGGAGAATGTGGCATTGCATCACAAGTACCCAGCTAAATGTATGGCCAAGAGACATGCTTCTTAGTCAGATAGGATTCTGTTTCCTCCTTTAAACTGGAAGCACTGGAGGAGGTCACTTTTACCCCTGATCCTCTGTTTGTTGTAGCTCTCAGATTATTTCATTTTAAAGTGTATATTAACTTTTCAACTTGGTTCTAAAGAAAATTGAAGCAATTTTATAATGAGAAAACCCACTAAACTACGATTTGTATAGATATTTGTTATTATGTCTTACTTATGAATCAAATAAAAAAATGAAAATTCACAACTTACAATATCTGTGTCAAGTGGCAGGGGGGAAATGACCCCTTAGTGCAGGGGTGTCAAACTCAATATCATCGCGGACCACATTCGCATTATGGTTGCACTCAAAGGGCCGGTTGTTACTTTAAGACTATATATAAATGCATATAAATATTGAACATACAGTATATAAAATAATGTATTATATTACATTATTGCCTCTTCATTGGATTATTATCGGATAAGATATAACTTCATAATTAACCACGTCTGAAAGCAGAAGTCTAGGGCAAATAATTGCAAGTCTCTTCAGTGAGAATGTCACAAAATGATTTAAAAGAAAAGCCAAATTCTGGAAAAAAAGTCAAAATAAAAGAAGGGAAATTTGGAGAAAAAAAAGGTGACATTTTTTTTAAAAACGTCAAATTTGAGATGCATTGTGCTACATGTATGGTGCTTCTGTAACTAGCCATGTAACTGTATATTAAACATATTATATTCTTTCAGAGCTCTTGTGGGCCACATTAAATGAAGTTGCGGGCCGGATTTGGCCCCCGGGCCTTGAGTTTGACACCCCTGATTTAGTGGATCTAATGTTAAACGGCAGCTCTTGTTATGTTTACTCTTCCTCTGGACTGACTGTGACATATTACTGTTGCTTCTGGGAAAGAATTGTCGGAAATATTCAAATTTTTCTCATGTCAATTTACTGTTGTCACAACAGACCCTCTAACTGTATGAGGGACCACAATAACACTAAAGACACAAAACACAACAATACAGGATGTCTATGGCAAGATGCGGCAGGGCTTTTGTCAGTTCATCAAAAACTACACGTTATTATTCTAATCTCTTTTTTAATTATGTCGTTCTGTTTACAAAAAAAAAACAATCCATGCATGGCTTAATTAACACAGTCAGGATAT